AATGAAACAAATGAAGACCAGTGGAATCCCAAAGTGTTTGTTTTTATGATGACTCGTTTGTAGGGGTCTAATAATTTCACACAATATCATGATATTTACTGGAGACTTGATCAACAATAATAGGTATATTCCGTGGTTTTTTTCTGAATATATGATAGGCATAACACACCAACAATATGATATGCGGGCTAATTGCCATCCCACTATTGTTGGCAATCCCAGAATATTGATGTATGTGTATGTATATATATATGTAATGTAATGTAATGTAATGTAATGTATAGTATAGTATAGTATAGTATAGTATAGTATAGTATAGTTTTGTATAGTATTGTATAGTATTGTATAGTATTGTATAGTATTGTATAGTATTGTATAGTATTGTATAGTATTGTATGGTATAGTATAATATAATATAATATAATTTAATATAAAAAAAAAATATAATATAATATAATATAATATAATACAATATGATATAATATAGTATAATTTAATATAATATAATAGAATATAATATAATATATAATATAAAAAAAAATATAATATAATATAATATAATATATATAAATAATATATATATATATACATATGTATATCCCTATCTGTGTGCCATGGTCAGATTATGTGGTACACTGGGTAATGTTCATCGTCAAGTATAGGAGATCACCGTATCCAATAGTAAAAACCAGGATCTGTCGAAGGGTTTTTGTGGTTCAGCAAGTATCCACGTATGGCAGCGAGTATCAAAACCTCATTTGATAGCTAGTGGATGCTAGTGGCAATCTATGGCTACCACATAACCTCACATATCCTCACATAACTTCTCACATAACTTTCTCACATAACTTTCTCACATAACTTTCAGATCGGTGCGAGTTGAAACCCTTTTTTTTTGGCGACAAGGTGCCCCTCTGTCGCTTCTCGCACTTCTGGTGACGGCGCATCTGCGGTTCCATGTGCATCTGCAGCCTCCAGCACTTCGTCAGTCGTCAGTGCATCGACTTTTTCGTCAAGGTCAGAGACCGAAGTTCCAGACGTTCCAGATTCATCACCCACAGAGGTGCTCTGAGAGGAGCCACTGTGGTATTTCTCCTCGACAGCGCGACATCCATCATGTGGGGATTCAATTGCATGGTCCCAATGGTCTCAATGAAATGTGGAAATTCCCTACGAAACCATGGTGGCTTTTGGGGGGTGTTGAAGATTAGGAGGGGAATGGAAAACCTGAATGTTTTCGGATCGCTTCCCGATCAGATTCATTTCATTGAATCAACAATCACTAGGGTCCGGAAATGTGGTACCTCAGTTTGCCACGAACAAATGGACATAAAATAAAGTTTTGAATCTTAAAACACCCTAAAGACAATACTTTAAAAAAAAACAATCAATTGAGACGGGTCGTTTCTCAGATTGGTTTTCCCGTAGTAAAAAGTGATTTCCATATTCCTTCTCTTGGGAGAAATGTTCAGCCTGCAAACATTCAACAACAAATTTCTCAGCCAAATCTAAAGACAGCAACAAAGAAACAAAAAATCTGGTTCTGTCTGACAATTGGGTACCCCAAGATCTGATGGTAGATAGATTATATCTAATTTTGCAGTAAAAATGGTCGCAAATTGGGGTATACCCAATTTTCAAACAGACCAAAAATGAACTTAAAAAATCATCCACTAAGCAAATCTTCGGCGACTTTTTCCACTCTGAGCCGGCGTTTTGAGAATCCTGAATGGCAACTGTGCCGGTGGAGGGATGGTAAATATCTGTAAATAGATCTATGTCATTCTATCCCAGTATATCTGGTTGGTGGTGCAATGTGCCCATCTTGAAAAATGATGGAGTTCGTCAATGGGAAGGATTATATATCCCATATATGAAATGGAAAATAAGTTACCCTCTGGTAATGACTAACAGTTTGCTATTGAAAATTGCCATAGAAATAGTGGATTTTCCCATTAAAAATAGTGATTTTCTATAGCTACGTAGAAAATTACCAGAGGGTAACTTATTTTCCAGTCACCACCATGAAAACTTGTGATTCCAAGCCATGAACTCCATGGAAAAATCGGTGGTTTCATCCATTCTGAACGGCTTTTTTTTTGCTCGTCACATCCCACATCCCCCGGGCCCCCGGCCTTTTCGAGATGGTCTGCCGGGCGGCAAAGGAACGTCTCCTTGGAGGCAATGAAAAGATCGAAAAAATGGCAGTAAAATGACTTACCCTCTGGTAATGACTAACAGTTTGCTATTGAAAATGACCATTAATAGTGGATTTTCCCATTAAAAATGGTGATTTTCAATAGCTATGTTAAATTACCAGAGGGTATAAGATCTTTTTCGGATGGTAACTTATTAGTAAAACATCGTAAACCCCAAAAAAATCCAAGTCTTTGTCAAACTCAACATGGGTTGTGGATGTTCAAGCTCATTCCCTCGATGGATCATTCAACAGGGCAGAATGACGCTTGAAATAAGCTGTTGTGCTGGGTGCAAATTCAGAGCAAAGAAAAAGACGTCAAGTCCATAAAGCGAATTTGAGCCATCACTCCGTTTTCTGCTCACATTCCACTACTGAAAAATATCGCGAAATCCTATGATTACCATATGACTGGGGAATAACCATCCATTAATTAAAATAACCATAGGATAACATCCATTATTCTATTTTAAGGGGAATAACCATCCATTAAACATCAATTTTCCACTGGCTCCGCTTCGGCTAAAAAGACCAACGCCGCGGCTCCGATGGCCATGACTTTTTTGGGCTTTTTTGGAAGGATCCTGGGACGATGCGACGAGTAAAAGAGGGCAGAAAAATGGGGGAAGTCAATGGGGCTATATCGGAAATACATGGGATGTGTGTATTATATATATATATATAAGTTTTATATATAGTTTTATATAACTGTATATATATATGTTGGTTATATATATATATGTTGGTTATATATATATATATATGTTGGTTATATATATATACATATATATACATATAGTTATATATAATTGTATATATATATATAGCTATTTGTAATTATATATATAACACCAAGAATATGATGTTAGCCGGGAGAATGATGATTAACCAGTTGATTTAGGGGTACCCTATTCTCACCTACTGGAATTTCCTGGAAATTCTGCACCTGATGGATGTGGCCAGCAAGTGCATTTCCAAAATAGATGCAGCCAACATGATACCCATTGAGTTATCATGCGCATTAACCCCCATTAACTATACTTATATCTACCATAAACCATGCTTAAACCACTTATGTTCGGCAACTGAACGCTATCGACTGGGGGCCCATTGTGCCAGGGACGTAGAAAAAATCGCTTTTTCATCATGATCATGATCGAATCCACAGGAATTTTCTGGGATCAGAAGATGTTTCCATGCTACTACCAAAGTCATCATGATACCCTCTGGTTATTTGACATAGCCATGGTATAGATGGCCCATTTATAGATGATTTTCCCAGCGACATCAACCTCCATTTATATGGGTTTTCCATGGCTATGTTAAATAACCAGATGGTAATGATAAAACATGATAAAACAATGGTTGCTATTGTTACTATGATAATCATTATAAACCATTATTAATGATAGGAATGATACTAAAAACAAACCATCATATCCATCATAATAGTAAATCCATGTCAATCCTACAGTATCAATTCTTCAGGGAAAAAAACGCTGCCACGTCATCGTTTTTTGGTCTTGCCACGTCGAAGTGGTCACCTTTGTGCTTCATCTTCAACCCACCCTGTGGTCATCCCATCACAATTTGCTGATATGAAAGGATTGATACAGATGATACATACCCTCTGGTAAACTAACATAGACCCTGGCAGTCATCGGGGTTGGAAGATTAGTTTCCATTAAAAATTTGTGATTTTCAGGGTCCAACTGTTAATTTACCAGAGGGTAGATTATACATATTACTATGCGATTCTTCCCCTGTGAATGGTATGGAATTAACTCCACAGGCCCTGCCGCTGAGCCGCGAGAACTCGTCGCTTTCCACGGCGCGAACCAAGTCCTCGCGTTCGAAAATTCGACCCCTTGGACGATTCTCCCCACATGGAGGTCGCAGTGTGACAAAAGTCATGTTTTTTTCATGTTTTTTTCATCTGGCTGGTGGTATACCAACTGGTTAATATACTGTTAATAATGGTTAATATTAATGGTTAATATTAATGGTTATTATATATGGTTATTATATGGTTAATAATAATCTGGTTGCTGGTTGAGCCTACCCCTCTGAAAAATGATGGAGTGAAAGTCAGTTGGGATGATGTCTGACATTCCCAACTGTTTCTGGAAAGTCATAAAATTCCATGGTTCCAGTCACCACCAACCAGTTGTGATTCCCCCAGAAATCAATGAAAAACAGCAACAGGGCTATTTTACCCTGTTTTGTACAGTCGGCGAAATACATCTCTGCGGGATAAAACCCCAACATCCAAAAACCAATGGCTCGACTGGACCCTGCCGAGACTCTTCATGGCCCTTCATAGCCACTGAAGGGCGCGATTGTGCTCCCGAGAACTCTGAGAACTCAGCCAAGGAATCAGCTGATCTCAGCTGAGAGCGGGCAAGAAGTGAATGTTGATTGGATACAGCTCCTTTCATGGGAATTCCCAATGAACATTTGACCAAAAACCACGCAGCAAAGTAGAAATCCAACGCAAGGAGATTTTTAACATCTAAAAAACGTGTTCCCCAGCTGTCATGAGATTTTGTTGATTCTCATTGTCTGTTTTGACAACCACTCATGAGAGCAGCATCCATCCTGCCAGCCCAGTGGCCATCGATGCAAGCTGAAACCGTTGGCAGCACTTCGAGCCACTGCGGGAACGACGGATCTCACGGCTCGAAATTTCCAAGGTTTTTATGGCTCAAGCGTCGCTGTTTCGTCGAAACGTCGCTCCATCCATTTTCCAGCCAATTTCGCAGAACAAACAGCACTACCCTCTGGTAATTTAACATAGCTATTGAAAATGGCTATTTATAGTGAGTTTTTCCATTTAAAATTGTGATTTTCCATAGCTATGTTAAATTACCAGAGGGTATCTGATAGGCATTCTTTCGACATTTGCAGCAAGGTGCTCAGGTCGCGGGATCTTAAATTTGTCGAAGCATCAGCAAACTTGTGAACCTTCGAAAAACCAGAAAGCCCCTGTTGCCCAGGCTTAACCGGGCAGGATATTCCCTCCACTCCCTCCAATTTCCTCCAATGGGTGGTAAACCCATTGGGTTTTCCGCACTACATCCGGGACATCATAGAACTGCATAGAACTGGGTGTCACAGTAGCCAAGGTCCCAAGACAACTGCGAAAATGGATTCCCGGGTTGTAGATTATCAGAGACTATCACTAACATTGGACAATGGTAAATTTCTTGACACGGTCACATTCAACCCCCTTTGACAAACGGAGAGGCCTTCAGTATTTAGCTCAGAGAGGCAGTTCAGCCACGAAGAAGCAAAATGCGAGGTAAAGAAAGAAAATATTGGAGATTGTTTGACTTTTCTCAATTTTTGGATTTTACGATACCTTTAGAAGGGGAAAGGCTACCCTGCCACTCAACAACATCAGACACCCTACAGCACAGTTTTTGTTCATATTTTTTTTGGCCCCAGTCAACTATTTGTTCACACACCGTAAAAGTCCGTTTTAAAAAAAAACTAGTAAAACTAATTGTTACTTTTCCGTTATAAAAACTATTTGTTCAGACACCGTTATAGTTAATTCTTGTTAATTCTGTTACTTTTCAGAGTTTCTGTCGCTAAATGAACACTTGTAAAGTCATCTAGCCACAGAAACTCTGAAAAGTTGCCTTTTGAAATCGCCACAGATGAAGAAATGATGCTTCGCCCATCTCCCTGAGGCATGCCAGTTGGCAAATCAACAGCAGCTGAAGGTGCGGTCGTCACGAAAAAAAACACGAGGAAAGCGTGGCTTTCCTGTAGGTCTTCCCAGAGGCTGCCAGTCCAAAGTGTGTATATGATATTATATGGTGTATATATATATATATACATACACCATTTTTAATAGGTAAATCCTTTATAAATGGGCCATTTTCCATGGCTATGTTAAATACCCAGAAGGTATACATGTATATATATATATACACACATACAAATTCATGTTGAAGTAAATTTGCCCTGATTCCCCGTACTGCGGCATGTTCCTAGCCAGGGCATGTTCCAATTCCCCTCTTTTAGTGATTGGCCTGTGCTAAAGACCCACTGCCACATTTTGGCGTCCAGTTTACCGAATCCAAGTGCATGAATACTGTCCGATGAACATCCAAACTGCCCTTGTTTCCAACAATTCTAAAACCAGAATTGTTAGCGAGTCAAGCGAGTCCCGAATCATTTTGACTAGGAGAATTCTGGTTGAGTATGGTCTCAAATGTCTCAATCAAAAGCACCTTCCCATGAACCTCTGAAGACGGTGACGGCCCGGATTCAGCAGCGCGGCTGGTGCTCCACGATGCCGGGATGAAGCCGATGATTCGGGGCGGCGCTGTCATCGGTGATGGCACTTGTAGATTTCCAAGGGCTGACACTTGTGGTAAGGAAGAATCACATGTGCAATCCTGCTGGGAGATCCGGTGATGATTACCATCACTATGTTATTATTGTTATCAGTAACTAGTATGACTATCATCATTGTTATGATTGTTATGATGTTTGCCTCTATGATTATTAAGAAAGAACATGATGATGATGATGAGGATGATGATGAGGATGAGGATGAGGAGGAGGAGGAGGAGGACGATGAGGTTAATAAGGATGATTAGGATGATTAGGACAATGAGGAAATGAGGACAATGAAGATTATGAGGAGGATCATGAGGAGGATCATGAGGAGGATGATGTGGAGGATCATGAGGAGGATCATGAGGATGATGAGGATGCAGATGAACGCGATACGTATTCTTTGTGTTCTTGCTATTGCTACTAGTATTGAATTTGCGATAATTTCATGGTATGATTGTTAGTCTAATTCGTCTGGTTGTCCTACGTAACTGTTATCAATCCTATTGTCATGATTGCTGTTCATGCCACTGTCATCATTCTGACTAATGTATATTATATATAATAGATTAGAATATAATATAGTATTAAAAAAAAAAATATTATAATATAATATAATATAATATAACATAATATAATATAATACAATATAATATAATAGACTAGAATAGAATAGATGAGAATATAATATAGTATAAAATAGTATAATATAATATAATATAATATAATATGTTATATATATATATCATATATATATAATATATATAATATATATATAATATATATAATATATATTATATATATTATATATATAATATATAATATATAAAAAAAAAAATATTACACATAATATATATATAATATATAATATATATATATATAATATACATATAATATATATAATATATATAATATATATAATATAATATATATATATATACTCTATATAAATATTATATAAGATATATATATATAATATTTATTATATATGATGTATATATATATATGTAATATATATATGTAATATATATATATGTAATATATATATATATGTAATATATATATGTAATATGTGTATATATATATATATATGCGTGACTGTGATTCCGATCATGATCATTAAAACCTCTGCAAAGAAAGAATGTGATCATTGTGCCAAGCCTATCGGAGAAGTAGCCTTTGGTAGCCGTCAGAGTTTGCTATGGAAAGTCACCATTCAAATCAGTAAATCATCGGAAAACCATAGCGACATTCCAGCGAATCAAAGGAGATTCTACTACACGAACGCGTTACTCCACGCGATAAAGAATATATGTTGGCTGTCTGAAACTGAAAAAGTTTACATCATGGACACTTCTCATGGAAATGAGGATGAATCCTGGCAAGCCTGGGAGATTTGTTGCGTTTCCCCAAGTGTTCAGACGCCATTTTCGGAGAGTTTTAGAAGGAGCCTGATCGACTACACTACACCACTTCGACAAAAATTTGTAGATCTTCCAGTGTTCAGTGATGGCGAGGACTCATGGATACAGTGTGGATACTTTGTTCCTGTATTTTTGTAGAACCAGAACCTTCGCAACTCGAAATTCCAGCACATCTGCAAAAAACACACAAATCTGAGAAGGTTGCGGAAGGCCTGAGGGCACCATTTGGAGGTTTCCTAAAATAGGCGTACCCACGAACGCGGACACCCTGCCAAGCCAGTTGGTCTTTGCCAACTGCACTTTTTGCGGTGTGAAAACAAGTTACTTGATGATGCCCTCGGTATATACATACACGTCCATTCGTCACTCGCCAAAAAGCATATATCCCACCTGCGGCTGTATGGAATTCCGGATGAATCCAGCTTCAAGAATTGTTTCTTTCCTTTTACACAGGAACATGATCCGAGTCCAGCATTTCTAACTACACTTCAAAAGCGGTCCATGAAATCACGACGGATTCATGGATCAAAGACCCCCTCGGGCCTCATCTTCCTACACCAACTGCCTTACGGCGCCAAGGCCATGGCGCCTTATGGCGCCTTATGGCGCCTTATGGCGGTTGTGTCCAACAAATAAACTCAGCAAAAACCCACCTTTTGTTGGGGAGATTTTTTCAGGGAGACAAACCCCCAGGACCTAGGACAGAAGTTGTCCCGGCATTGGACACATCCACCGGCATTGTTTGGACAACGACAATGAAAACGATCTCGGCCTCTCGGCATGACTCAAGTCTCAGCGCGGTCGATAGTTCTTCAGCTGGCACATCAAGTGAAGGAATCCATCCCTGACGTCATGAATGGCCGCTGAAAGATCTGGAAATCATCAAATATATACTTGGAGACTCAAAAATATTTCTGTGTATGTGCATGTCTGCGTATACTCTGTGCATATGTATACTATATATATATAATACACATAATAAGTTTCTGTCCGGATCCTTTTCGGCCGCCCTGCGCCTGCTGAAGCTTTGCTTTGGAAGGAGAGTTCCCAGCACAGCCACGATGTCTTTGCTCAGCATTCGAGTCCGCAGTAGCTGATCCTCGGACCCATGGACCAGAGAGCCCAGACTCGTCGAGTTTCCAGGGGAATCGACCTCCGTTCAAAAAAAACCTGTTGAACAGGTCAAATTGGCCATGAAGAGGGGGTATACATGGGTATACACCATTTTCAGACACCCATATGAATGAATTCCGGAAACGGTCAGAAACCTGTTGTGGCTCCATTGCTACCCATGTTTGAACCATGGCCCGAGGCCAGTCCGAGTGCAGCAGGGGATCTCTGTCTGCCCGACCATGCGCAGGGACTTCGAAAAGATCGAGGACCTACGGCGAGTTGCAGTGATGGTCTTGAGACCCTGTTGAGTGGAAAAATGTGAGGATTCACTAGCCATTCTATGGGTGTTTCTGCATCAAAAACCCGGATTTCATCAATGAATCACCGATATTGATGCATATATGGCTACGTCCAAAATGCTGAATTTGCACCACAGAATGGCCACAATACTGTAGGGAAAATTTCATTTTCAAACTGCAAAAAATCATCCAGCAAGGAGGTAAGGAAACAGTCCCGGCGTTGACCCCCTCCCCATTTTGGAAAATGCCAAGAAGTGCCCACATCCATATCATCCCATATCCCATTTACATCCTATTATCCCATTCCGGAACAAGCCCACCTGGTTCCACTTTTGCCATTCCTCCATGGGAACTTTCGGCTTCAAAAAGGCCGGCTTTGAACACAAAGATGCCTCAGGAGACTTGCGCGGCGCGAATAGGCGCATCCATCGTTGAACCATGAGCTCCTGGGCAGCTCAACCCATGTCGGCAGAATTTATTTGTCGCTATAATCGCCCAAATCAATAGTAACTATGGGAGAATGTCGGGATGAACCAGCCAATGTCAGGCTGGATTCAACGTGATTCAATGGGAATCAACCCTTCAACCAATTATTGCCATTTCGAAATTGATGGTCTTAGAATCAATTTTGAAAATGATGGAACATATGTTTAATGGGTGCAAATAATTCCCGAGAGCGTCTGAGCGAAGGGTTCTTCTAATAGTGGAGGTCTGCTATACATCTTCATATTTTCACATCTTCACATCTTTCTCTCTCTCTCTCTCTTTCTCTCTCTTTCTCTCTCTTTCTCTCTCTTTCTCTCTCTTTCTCTCTCTTTCTCTCTCTTTCTCTCTCTTTCTCTCTCCCCCTCTCGCTCTCTCTCTCTCTCTCTCTGTCTCTCTCTCTCTCTCTGTCTCTCTCTCTCTCTCTCTCTCTTGCCCTCTGTCACGGTTCTCTCCTTCTTATTCTTTTTCTTTTCTCTCCTAAGGCCGCAGGCAGTGCCGACGAAGCGCCACGAAGTGGCCACCCTTTCGCACAAAATGAGGTTCGAGTGTCAAAAACTGCGGTAAAATTGCGATTTTACATCCTCGGCGGCAACACTTTTGCACGAAATGAAATTCGAGTGGCAAAAACTGCGGTAAAATTGCGATTGCACATCCTCGGCGGCAACCCTTTCGCACGAAATTAGGCTCGAGTGGCAAAAACACAGTGTCGGCAGCAACCCTTTCGCACGAAACGAGGTTCGCGCGTCAAAAACTGATGGTTTTTTGCGAATTTGGTTGGTCCGGCGGCAACCCTTTCGCACGAAAAGATGTTCGGGTGTCAAAAACTAAAGATTTTTTTGCGAGTTTGCACCCCTTTCGCACCAAACGAGGTTCGAGTGTCCAAAACTGAAAGTTTTTTCCAGTTTGGTTGGTCCTGTTAAAGGGTCTGCGTGCACTAGTGCTTGAGTGTAAAAGTGTTTGTGTGTAAAAGCGTCTGCGTTTAAAGTGTTTGTGTCTACAAGGGTCTGTGTGCCAAAGCGTCTGTGTGTAAAAGCATCTGTGTGTAAAAGTTTCTGTGTGATAAAGCGTCTGTGTGTAAAAGCTTCTGTGTGTAAAAGCGTCTCTGTGTAAAAGTGTCTGTGTGTAAAAGGTTCTGTGTGTTAAAGCTTCTGTGTGTAAAAGCTTCTCTGTGTAAAAGTGTCTGTGTGTAAAAGGTTCTGTGTTAAAGCTTCTGTGTGTAAAAGCTTCTCTGTGTAAAAGCTTCTGTGTGTAAAAAGCTTCTGTGTGTAAAAGCTTCTTTGTTTGAAAGCGTCGGTGTGTAAAAGTGTCTGTGTGTAAAAGCGTCTGTGTGTAAAAGTGGCTGTGTGTAAAAGCGTCTGTGTGTGTGTAAAAGTGTCTGTGTGTAAAAGCATCTGTGTGAAAAATCTTCTGTGTGTAAAAGCGCCTGTGTGTAAAAGCTTCTGTGTGTAAAAGCGTCTGTGTGTAAAAGTAACTGTGTGTAAAAGCTTCTCTGTGTAAAAGCGTCTGTGTGTAAAAGCTTCTTTGTGCAAAAGCATCTGTGTGTAAAGGTTCCTGTGTGTAAAAGTTTCTGTGTGGAAAAGCGTCTGTGTGTAAAAGTGACTGTGTGTAAAAGCTTCTGTGTGTAAAAGTGTCTGTGTGTAAACGCTTGTGTGTGCAAAAGCTTCTCTATGTCTATGTAAAAATTTCTGTGTGTGTCTGTATGTATATATGTGTAAGTTGTGTAAGCATGTTTCTCCGCGTGTGTCTGTGTTTGAGAGCCTATCAGCATACCGGTATGCTTGTATTTTGCACATCTTCTATACAGCATACCTCGTCTGTCTCCTGCATCTAAAACCCTGACATCTTCACATCTTCTTATCTTGACATCTACACATAATGAACATATTCACATGATCTCAAATAACATGCTCATGAACATATTCATGTAAGTCTTTGGCGTCTGCAAATCATACAACTACATAACACATCTGAGTACCTATACACCTACTCGCTCTCAGGCCAACCGTGGTCCAGTGTTTTTGTCAACCATCAAATTTGGAAGCAGCCTGTTTTCAAACAAGTCCACAAAGGACGGAGTAGTGGAAATCCGAACCGCGATTTGAAAAATCCAGAGAAAATGGTATGCTCACCTCGGGCGATTGTATGCCCTTCGCAATTGTATACTTCGTATGATCTATTTGTTTTGAGGCCAGTTGGATCTAGCACAGTCTTTGTAAATCCTTGGGTCTCCTGTTGAGCCAACTGCAGCTGCAGCAATTCCTCAATCACCGCATCCACCACAGGATCTCCAGGGAAGGGCCGGAAATCTGGAGGACAGCAGTTTTCAACATAGTCCTGCCACTGCGACCCGTTTTTTTTCCGACAGCCGTGCCATGGTGAAATCGGGGAGGATGGTCCAATGCTTACCGGGAAGAACCGATATAATGTCAACCCTGGATTCACAAACCCCAAACGATTGTTGAATAAAAAAGTATCATATTATGACTATTGGAAGGGTACCCCCCTAATTAATAAACCAGGGTTTAGCAAAATCCGGGGTTGAGATTATAAAGATTGTAAAAATTCCCATCATAAGGATGACCATACCACAGTGACCATGACAATCATGACACTAATGGCTTAGTAGGGTAACAACCAAGTGGAGAAGCCATGACCTTCTGATAAGAGTAGCTCCGTTTCCCACCATCGGTTCATAGTGAACCGTACACATCGCTTCAATGTCAGCTTCAACCCAAAGACTCCGCTGCTAAATAGCATTCCTCAATCAGAAAATCCCACATGAATTGCAACTGTGAGCAACTTCCAAGATCTTCCAAGCAAAGGGATTCCTTAGAAAGGGCAAATTCCCCAACTTCTTGGTGAGGTTTTTGTCGATGCTGATAGACTGATAGATGTTGATCCCAGGGCCTCCAACTCACTCTCCGACGCTCTGGTTTGCCAATCCAACGACATCTCCTGGCAGGGGCGGATTTTTCTCAAGTTGGCACGGTGTTTGGCAGCATATTCCCATCATTCACCCAATGATGGAAAGAATTTCCCCCTTTTTTGCCATCCTCCGGCTTCGTCAATGCGGGAGACCATGCAAGGGGATTTCATGAAGCAGTTTACGGGATGGTTTGTGGATACTTGGATACTTCAGTCGCAAAATAGGAACTCAACCAGTCATGGATATGGGTCCTGAAAACGGTGGATGCCTGGATAAATCAAAATACCATGTCTAGGTCTATTTGGGAATTTAATGGAATATAATATAACATGATATAACTAACCACCCAACAATGTGATATGGCTGGCTGACGATTAGCAATTTAATTTGGGGTACCCCCTATTTCCAGACCCATATGGCGGATACTGATATAGTGGAAAAGTTCAGCATCAACAACCTCCTATTTCCACAGAAACCAACGACCTCACCTTTCAATACCGTTCACCGTAAACACCGCTGCTCTTACTGGTGCTAAACGCAGGGAACTGGGGAATGATCCACTGGCTAACTATCAATCATCATCCCAGCAACCCCCAGCAACCCATCCATTCCCTACGTTTAGCACCAGTCAGTTAACCATTAACTAACCATTACCCTCTGGTAAACATACAAAAAACTATGGAAAATCACCATTTTAATGGGTAAATCAACTATTTCATGGGATATAACCCAATTTAACAATAGATATACCCATAGTTTCATGGGATATACCCATAGATACCCATAGTTTTGGGTGAACCACTTCAACCCCTACCAGGCCCATGCCCATCTTCATCGCAACTCCGCCTGCCGCATCTTCACGGGGAGCTTTGGTAGAGCAATGAAATTCTGCCACGGCGGACCGGACAAAGTGTGGAGCTGTAGCCCGACGTGCGTATAGTGTAATATATAATGATATATAATGATGTACATTTACATTCCATTGACATTCCATATACACCCCATCTTTTTCCATGTATTCCAATTTCAATGGTGCAGCAGAACGCCATCGCTATGCGGACTCGCTCACCCGTCCTGAAATCTTCGCAGAGACAGCCTGGTTTTGCCCACCTGGTCCAGATGCTGATTTTCGGGGATGGTTTCTGAGAAAGGGGCTTTCCCACATGAATAGAATCCGAAAAAACACCACCAAAATCTAGAAATGTCTATGATAATGTCATGAAAACCCAAAACAGAAGCCACAACTGAAACAAAAACCTCTAATTCTCTCCCTCAAACTCCCTGAAGTCGTCGCCTCCGACTGCAGTTCTTCCAAGTGCTGATATTCTTTCAGCCAGCTGTGAAACATTCGCAAATGTCGCGCAGTGGCCTGGAGACGTGACACACCGGAAGAACATCTAGCTGTGGCTATGAATCGAAGGTAGCAAGAAGAATGAAAAAAAAGGATTTACCCATCAAAAATTGTGATTTTCCCTAGTTATGTTAGTTTACCAAAGGGTAATAATGTGAGGAAAACAATGCCATTTGCACCATCCCCCAGTGAGCATTTTTATAGATGGGATTCAAACCATTCCCAGTCATCAGTGGTAAAAATGATATGGTTTTACCCGCATTAGATGGAGTTTTCATCAGTTCACCCAAAAAAAAATGATATGTTTTTTTATGTGGTTTCCCCGTTTTCCCCGCCTTTGGGCACAGCCTTTTTAGAAAGCTGGTAAATGTGGTCCTGCCGACGCCCCGTGCATCCTCAGATCCGCAGAGCTGGAAGGATTTCGAGCAATGAATTCTGGTGATTCGAGGTACACGCTGGTAAACGTTTACAATTTACGAACTGGAAAATCACCATTTTTACAAGGTAAATCAACCATAAATGGCCATTTTCAATGGTTGTTTGTATGTTTACCATAGGGTGCCAATTTCCACCAATGCTTCCTCGAGTCTTCTGTGGCATCTAATGCTCGATGAAGTTTGTCAATCCACAGCTCTGCATCGATAGGCCCAACAGCAGCTTCTGCGGCGGAATGTGAAACGCCTCAGGCGTTAAAAATTGCAATACCAATGAGAAGTTGGTTGGGGATATGATATAGAATATGTGTATATATATATGCATATGTATATATATATATATACATATGTATATATATATATGCGTGTGTTATTATATTATATATACATTATAACTATAATTATATATATATATTATATTTTGTATTATTATTTATTATATTAAATTATATTATATTATATATTATATTATATATTATATTATATTATATTATATCATATTAAATTATATTATATTACATCATATCATATTTTTAATATCACATTATATTATATTATATTTTATTTTATTATAGTATCTTATCTTTTATTAAATATATTATTAAATGATATTATATTATATCATATCATATCATTTTTTAATTAATTATTATATTATAATATGTATATATGATGAATTCTAGTGATTCGCCCATCTGACATAAGGTCAAATTGGGCTGGTTCCCCTTACCCATATCTATCCACCTCAGTCAAGCCATCAGCCACTTCGTCCAGAGAATTGCTTTGGACCGGGCAATAACTATGGTTTATAGATTATAACTCCAACATTTAGGGTTGCCGTCCGGTCATCAAACATGGCTGGAAAATCACCGTGCTCAATGGAGGTCATCGCCAAAACTGGTGGATATTCAACACAAAAACCGACCACGGTGTAGGGGTCTTATTATCCCGGTGTGGGGGAGCGGGAGGATAATGAATGATGATGATGATGAAGAAGAAGATGATGATGATGATGAGATGATGATGAGATGATGGTGCTGATGATGGTGATGATGGTGATGATGATGATGGTGCTGATGATGATGATGATGAGATGATGGTGCTGATGATGGTGATGTTGATGATGATGAGATGATGGTGCTGATGGTGGTGCTGATGATGATGTTGATGATGACGATGATGATGAGATGATGGTGCTGATGATGGTGATGATGATGGTGGTGCTGATGATGATGGTGATGATGGTGATGATGTGATGATGATGATGATGATGATGATGATGATGCTGATGATGATGCTGATGATGATGATGGTGATGATTATGTTGATGTGATGGTGAGAATGGATGATGATGATGATTATGATGATGATAATGATGATGACGATGATGATGATGGCGATGATGATGACGATGATCATGATCGGCCCAGAATCTCAGAACTAGGACCACACTTTGTGCGAGCCTGTGCAGTTGAAACGCATGTGAAGGTTTCACAAGAGCCACGTTATATAGAAATTTACAGGAAAAATGCCGCACCCCAGATTGAGCCCAGAACGCAGACACACATTTTGCGCGAGCCTGCGCAGTCGAAATGCACTTCAACATTTCACAAGAGACATCAGAAGAGCCACTTGATACAGAAATTTACAGGAAAAATGCCGCACCCCAGATTGAGCCCAGAATGCAGACACACATTTTGTGCGAGCCTGCGCAGTCGAAACGCATGTCAAGATTTCACAAGAGACATCAGAAGAGCCACTTTATACGGAAATTTACAGGAAAAATGCCACGCCCAAGAATGCAGACACCCACTTTGTACAAGCCTGCGCAGTTGAAACGCATGTCAAGGTTTGACAAAAGCCACTTTATGCGGAAATTTAGTGGAAAAATGCAGCGCCGCAGAGTGAGCACCCTGATCAAGCACCGGCCTTTGCAACTACCGTAAGAACCCCTGAGTGTGGACATGTTTGGGGAAAAAAACGATCCAAAAAAGTATTCCACAGTGCCATAGACCATCCCTTATTTGCCCAAGTTTACCATTTGGTACTAGAAGCCATACCCCGATGTGGTATGGATGTCTCTGGATTTCGGCATCCCACGGATTCCCACTGCGGCAAGAGGGGCCGAAACCTCCAGTGGAAAGGCAGTAGTTGAACAACTTCTGCGCAACCTGAGACACAACAGAATGATGGTGGCAACTTGCGGCCCAGATGAATGGAGATATGAACTGGAGCAGGTCTATAATTCATCATATGTTCATACATGTGTATATAATTGTATATATATATATAGTATATATATACTGTATATGTAATTCATTATATGTTCACATATGCATACATTTGTGTTGTATATTTATACATGTATCTATTTATTTGTTGATTTTTGTATTTATGATTTATTTATTTATTTATATTCTATACTGTCAACCTCGGGTTAATAGACCCTGGTTGATTAATTGGGGAGGTTGCCTCAAAATAGTCATAGTCTGCTTCTAAAGTAGTACCAATCAAAGAGCCCCTGGGTTATTCTTCCGGGATTGATATTAGTTCTGAATGGAGATAAAGAGTAGGTATGTTCCTATCTATAACCCTGAAACAATGCCGAAAAAAACAATGGCTACACCTTTTTCAAGGTAGATGGCTCCGCCCTCTTCCAAAGTGCGCGTATAGATGGCGCCGACTTTTTGAATTTTGACACCCGAAAAGGGCGTGACATCCATCCCCGTTATTTTTGTGGGCCGCGCCATCTATGCCAGAAAATGTTTCAGGGTTGCCAGAAACGTTAGAACATTAATGTCAACCTTGGAAAAAAAAAATAATTATTTAATTGGGAGGGTACCATCTAAGTATCAGATTATGACTATTGGAGGAGTACCCCCTAATTAAGTAACCATGGTTTATTAATCCGGGGTTGACATTACACAGAATGTGTGTTCCTACATGCTCTGCAAAGATGGTTTGCCAGTGTGTTGAGCCATCTCTCCGTGTTTTGACTTGAGCCATCTCTCCTTGACACAAGCGGATGGCACTGTCCCAGGGGGTTGCGCCATCTATTTAGTAGTGAAAAAAAAACGAGAAAAACTATTGTTGAACACACATCCCCGTTATTTTTTCAACGCTTTGATGACCGAAATGTCCGGTCCCGGAAGAAGGAATTTAAATTAAAAATGGGGTAGATGGCGCAATTTGGCCCATTTTGCACATGTAGGGTTGCGCCATCTTCTGGGCACTTTTGCTGTTCCGGGTACATATCCTTTAAAAAAAATCACTGTTAAATAGATGGCGCAACCACCTCTGAAAAAGTAGGTCTGAGCCATGTACTTTGAAATTGGAGTAGATGAATTTAGAGAAGCATTCCTTTTAATAAACATTCCATCCTATACATATGTAACATTATAAATAGATACAAATATGTAAATATATGTGTATATATCATTATATATACTCAATGTATACATATATATATATACATACATACATACACACAGCATCATCCTGAAGTAGATAGATACTATTCCCATTTTTCAAAATCTCCATATTCTATCTCCAGGATGACTATACATACTATACATATACACATAAATGGGGGTTTCCTAAAATAAGGCTAACCCCAGTTATCATCCATTTAAAAAAAAAAAACATAAACCATCCAGCTATTGGGGTACCCCCATGACTATGGAAACCTCCATATACCCTCTGGTAAACGTTTACATAACTATGGAAAATCACCATTTAAATATTTTATAGCTGGGAAAATCAACTATTTCGGGCCATGTTCAATAGCTACACTAGTCATTACCAGAGGGTAAATCCCATTAAATTACCAGCAAATCCCACTAAATCCCATTAAACCACCATTAAATCAACTATAAATGGGGGATTACCAGAGGCTATTCATCATCTCCACAGCACCGGCTTCGACTCACTGCATCCCCGTGACCACCAGCTCATGACGGTTCGAGAACGTGGCGTCCAACGACGCCGCCGTTTCCAGGGGCAAATCCACCGGGGCGGTGTGCGACAAACGGAACTTCTGATCTCAGAAAATGTCCAGTGGCGATTGGGTCAGGTCAGGTCAGGTCGGTCTGATGGGTCTGATGGGTTCATTTCGGGAAACCCGAATTTTTGTGTTTCAAAAATTGGAAAAGCCATATTAGATTCTTCGGAAACCCAGAATCATAAAAACAGCAAAAACACAGCGCAAAAAATCCAAAAAAAAACAGAATTTTATCATTAAAAAAATGCCCATCTATACTTGATTTGCAGACACAATTCGGAGCAAACCATCCAGTTTGGATCCGTTTTGGGGAATCCTTCTGGATTCCATATGGAGCTTTCCATAGTCATGGGGAAAACCCCAAGCGAGCTTAGGATGGTTGATTTCATATAAAATCTTTGTTTTAATGGATGATAACTGGGGGTAGCCTTATTTTAGGAAACCCCCATTTATGTGTATATGTATAGTATGTATAGTCATCCTGGAGATAGACCACGCGATTCCAAGTTGACTCAGTCGAGTGCCGAAGTCAAAATGCCAAAATGTCTGTGGCTACTGAGCACAGCACCCTCATCTTCAAAAATCTCTGGGTCCTCTTCCTGTCAGGTGCTTCCTCCCCAAGCATTCTGCGAAAAAAAAACAACACGATTCAAGTCGTTTGAGACCCTGTGGATACGTATGCAACATTTATATACATTTATACTATATATATATATATGTATAAATCTATGTAAACCTACTGTTTCCGGACAAGTCAATCTAAGTAAGACCGCTTCCAATTTTCACATCCCATCCGCACCTCCCCAGGCGTTGAGTACCTGTGGATGAACAGAGCGAAGGGAGCGTTGAGAGCGTCGCTGCTGTCGCCTAAGAGCCAGTCCTGGACCATGTTGCGCGACCCCCAAGTCGTGGAGGTTTCCTAAAATCATGGGTACCCTCTGGTAAACGTTGACATAAACTATAGAAAATCACCATTTTTCATGGGAAAATCCACTATAAATGGTGTTTTTCCATAGTTATGTTAGTTTACCAGAGGGTACCTCAAGTCACCTGCCTTGGATGATTTAAGGGGCACACGACTATTTTGTTGGGTACCAATTTATAAGCCTCAAAATTGGAAAAATTGGATCAGAGTTGGCTCACTGGAACAGCCCCGCTGAAAATGACCCGATGGGCTGCAGAAATATCAGCAATGTCCCCTTCAAACTGCCAGCACGCAGGAAATATCTCTAACCACCTGAAGGCTAAAGGTATATAAGAAGCGTAAAGTGGCACATCTACCAACCCAACGATGATAAAACAAAGGCTCATCTGGAAAGCCTGAGTAACCGAGAACCTGCGTGGCTCATCATTTCAATAACTGGGCCAGGATGGAGCTTCAAGCTGATTCCATGGAAAATCCTGGTTGGTTAATAGTTAAGAACCAGATTCACCATTCTTGGACTATGAAATAATCCCCAAATATCCCCAATATATAAAGGGTAGATGTTCATCCCCCAACTAATCATCAACCCTGCCAGGGGTGGATCGCAGCCACTCATTTGGAGGGTTTTTCTCGGTATATCCCATTTTCCCGCCCAGATCTGGATGTCCTGAATGACCTGAAAAGGCACACTATCACCCACCAATCCATTTCCTGGCGTAGGCTACCAGGGAAGCCTCCCAATGCCAAACTCAACGTCTCAAGATGAAGACCCTCGAAGTTGCAATCCATTATGAGGCATGTCTTCAATGGAAAATCTACAGGAAAACATGGATTTTACCCCAAATATAGTGGTGTCCTGCAAGTTTTCATCCAATGCTTCCCATGTCTCTTCCATTCGCACGGCAAGTTCCTCTGTGTGTGATCTTTCTACATGTTTGGAGTGTTTGACGGATGATCTTTTGTTCTGATTCTCATCATTCCGCATCTGACTGCTTTGAGAGCTTTCGATCATTTCTGTATGCCTTAGAATGTCTCAGATATTGCTTAGATTGTGTTTGATGACTGGCAAAATCTAGTATTAAAAGGCATCATCATTAAACTCTACGTTTTATCCTAGTAAAGGCAATAGAATGCGTACTTTTCGGCGATACAACGAATGACAATCGGATCTTTCGCAAAACAACTTGCCATTCATGGTTTATCAGTGGACGTCTCACAACTTCAATTTTAATACATGGTCCATTCATCCTGCAGTCATCGGAGCTTCGCTGAACGATGGACCTGATGCACCTGTCCTGTCTTGACTTGATAGAAGTCGATGATACGTCGAAAGAGATGCTTCGCTAGAGCTTCCATGCGTTGGACGGAAGGTAAGACCTCCTTCATATTCAGCAAGTTGAACCTACGGCAGCACATAGATTGCAGCCGCCGGCTTTAGGGAATTTAAAGAGAAAACATAGATTCTCTGGTGAAACACATCAAAATCATCATTCTAAAGCCAACAAGTGAAATGTTCTTGGGTCGTTCCACCTGGCTTTCTAAATTTCCAGAAAGGCTACATGTGTAATGTACTGATTGAAGAAACATAGCCTACATGACGCTTTCGCTTAATTGTAAAGGATTGCGCGCCCAGTTTCACAAGGATTCACTGCATCATGGAACGCTGACGGGTTGCCAATTTTTTTTCCTAGGCATGTCCAAGGAGCATCGCAGCCATACCACGGAAGAGTGCCAGTAGCATCTCTACAAACTCTTCCTCTTCGAAGGTGCGATTGTCATTCTCATCAAAGACTCCTGCGTAAAAAAAATCTGTCGAAGTGATGAAGTGGCAGTTTCAGGAGGTTTCCCAAGTCATAGGGCTACCCTCAGTTATCATCCATTTATAAAATTTATTATAGATGGGATTTTCCATGAAATAAACCATCCAGCGAGCTGGGGGTACCTCCACTTATAGATGGGGATTGTCCATTGACCATGACTATGGAAAGCCCCAAAAACTGGCAGCTGTTCAAAAAAAACAGAGTTGACTCCCGTGACTCCCCTAAAGGCAAACGTGATCATTCTACCCTCTGGTAAACGTTGACATAACTATGGAAAATCACCATTTTCAATGGGTTAATCCACTATAAATGGGCCATTTTCAATAGCTATGTTAAATTAGCAGAGGGTAATCATTCTAGCATTGTGGATCAAACAGTGTTTTTCACTGGGGACCAAACAAATGAATTATCCATGAAAAACAAAAAAACACCAAACATATTCCAGCAAAAAAGTCAGCTTCAACCAAGATTCCCAGCAAGAAACGGATCTTTTGTTTCTTGCAAATCGCCTCGGACATGTCATCGACTCCTGTCCATATCCCCCCAAACCATCATTTTCCATAGGATGGGGCCCCCCAGTTTATTAGTCGGTTGCTAGCCATACCTAAATATAGTTACCCTCTGGTAAACGAACATAGCTATATAAAATCACCATTTAAAATAGGTAAATCAACTGTAAATGATCATTTTCAATAGCTATGGTGGTCATTACCAGAGGGTATTTGCGTATCATACACCCACTTCTCATTATACTTATTTGCACCAACTTTTTGCTAACGAACTGGGGCCCCATCCTGCACCTCAAAATTGCTAACGTTGCTGGGTTTTGATGCTTTGTCACGAATTGTCCACCCTTAAAAATGCCTAAGGGCCTGTGACACGTCCGATGAAAATTCACCCCAGTTTGGCCATGTCAGGCCAAGCAGCCGTAGACATCAAAATGCAGACCGTGATCAATGGAGACACTGGAAGTTTGATTCTCACATAGTCCTGGCCCGAAGCACTGCAAGGTGCCCCCTAGGGCCCTAAATTGGTTTATAAAGCCATGAATACTAGTTCGATATATCACCTGGTTGGTGGTATACCTACCCCTCTGAAAAATGATGGACTTCATCAGTTTGGATGAAATGACATTCCCAATAGATGGAAAGTCAATCCAAATTCCATGGTTCCAAACCACCAACCAGTAACCAACAAAAACCATAGTGAGTTATTGGAGTTATAAACGCACGCACCAACTGAACGCTCAAGAGAACGGGGGCACCACCTTGTGGCAAAACCTTCTGGGAACCACACGGATTTTTAGATCAACGCCCCAGGTGTGGGCTGTCCGACGGACCAAAAAGGTGGGAACATCTGTGAGACGAAATTGGTGGTGCAATATTTCCTGGTAATTTAGGGATTGATAACGATGTTAAACTATGGGTTAACCATGGAAAATTGTAATTCAATGGAGTTCTAGTTGGTGGTTAAAAAAACATCTTGAAAAATATGAGTTCGTCAATGGGAAAAACGACATCCCATATATAATGGAACATAAAATTCATGTTTGAAACCACCAACCCGGAGAAAATCCGAAATCCTCTTTGACATACAAATGATTACTGTCATTGCTGTTATTTTTAATCATGATTGATGATACCATTTAGCTACCATTTAGGTACCTCATGTTGCACTGTCACGTTATTTGGTTTTTACACAGGCTTCATTGTGTGAATGTGGCAATCCATGCCCTTCCACCAATCACCTCACCCAAAAAAACCGACCAAAGCCGACCCTTCGCCTGAGGGCTCTTGGTTTGGTTTGCTCGGGCATAGCCCGGAGGATCGAAGAGCTTCACAAAGTCCATCACCTGAGTAGTTGTGATTTGATAAGGTTGTGGTCATTGCATTAGGGGGGTACTCCTCCAATAGTCATAGTCAAGTACTTAAATGCTATCCCCCCAATTAAACAACCGTTTGGGATCTATTAATCCAGGGTTGACATTACTATTGTGATTCTGATGGTGATGATTGCTATCATCATTGTCTGACAAATGAAAGGATTAGGACCTTAGGAGGATGCTGTTAATATGATCCACCAAAGCACAAATGGCTGGGATGTACCATTCCCAGCGTTTCGCTTCCGGATGCAGATTCACCAAGCTGGGTGAACTGGTGGAACACGGCGAACGGAATCATCCGTGGCGAACAAAATCTGTGACTGTCATGAAAATTCCATCATAAAATTTATGGGTTCTGACCATCCCGAAGCATTTGGATCAGTATGGAATTTTGAAAAATCTCTAAAAGCCTTAGGATTGAATCTTGCAAAGTTCAAAAAACAATCGTTTGTGACAAATCATCCTAGGCCAGAGACCTCTTCAGAATCGGGATGAAACATGATGAAACATGATGAACTGCAGATGAAATTCACGTTAAACACCCAGAGTCATCATGGAGTTTTCTATCCCTTCCCCCCTGTTTGAATCTTCAAAAACACCCCCCGAAAGCAACAACGAAACCATGATCAACCAGATCCCTCAGATCCGCAAACGAAAAGTTGCCGTTGCCGGTGGGCAGAAGACGTGGCTGAATGAAGAAACACGATGGTTTTGTAATGGTTTATGTATGGTTATAATGGTTATTAATGGATATTAATGGGGGTTTTATATTAATAATGGTTTATATATGGCAAATATTTCACGAACTGTTCAGTCTCTTGGGGGTTTTCTCATGGTTTATTTACTGGTTTTCTCATGGGGGATTTTTGACGAACTAGTTAATGGATGTAACTGATAGAACCATATATAGTTAATGGTGGTTTTCTCATGGTTCATAAACCAACTTATTATAACTGACAAAACCATAGCCAATGGATGTTGATGGGGGTGAATCTACACCAACATTCACATAACTGGGGGGCACCATCCTGCAGGACAGCTTCGATTTTTGAATAAGTCCGGGTGACCCGAGGCAAAGGAATGCCCAGCATCTGCTGAGCCTCGAATGCCTCAGGATGCGCCATGTACGTGCGCAGATTCCCCAAAATATTCATAGATGGTCACAGATGATCTATGTTGACTATGTTGGTGTAGATTTTGAATTTATAGATGCTTTATAAATCAAGTTTTCTTTCATGATAGTTCTCCATCTGCCAAGCTTTAAGAACGAGCCACACAACAATCTCCAGGCCAAGGTTCATTAAAGAAGCGAGGTGCCTGACCTGGTTTCCACTCTCCCACTGCTTGCCATCGGTTGTAGATCGCCACCCAGTTGGCCAGTGAGCGTAACGCCAGCGTCTTACAAGCTGCTGGGCATGGCGCGGTCAAAACCCGGTCCCAAAACCTCACTGCCGCAGTGGGGGCGTTCCCGTTTCCCGACAAGATCATCACCAAAGCTACTGGTTGGGTTTTCTGTATACGTATATATAAATACGTAAATATACATATACATATATATATATACATTTACACATATATGTACACATAAATGTATGTAGAGTTTCCAAGTTCTTGGATGCCTCCATTCGAAACTCCCCTCGCGACTTCGCCAGTGTCCAGGCCGAGAAACTCCGGCAGCCAGTCAAGAAATGGTTCCTTCCCAGTGACCAGTCACGTTTCGTTTGCATCTCTTGGGCCTGGATTATATGGGATTATATGGGATTATATCGGATTTATATGGGATTTATATGGGATTATATGGAGATCTATGGAGATTAACCATCCACAATGGTGATATCAGCTAGGAACCACAAAATGCAACCAGGGAACCAAAAAGGGCATGTCAATGACTCGATTGTATCTATCCCATCTATCCCATCTCTTCGGTGCTGCTGAAATCGCCATGTTTCCCTCGTTTCGATCAATCACCACAAAGATGGCCCTCCCATGATGTTTTTTGGTGTGGTTTCACGACATGAGTACTATAGTTACTGTATATATAATGTTATATATGTATGCATAGATAGATAGAATAGAAGAGAATAGAATAGAAGAGAAGACACTCGAATCGAATAGAATAGATTGGATTAGATTAGATAGATAGATGGAGGATAGATAGATAGATACATAAAAAGATAGATGGATGGATAGATAGGTAGATAGATGGATACACAGATAGACAGATAGATAGATAGATAGATAGATACATAGATAGATAGATAGATAGATACATAGATAGATAGATATAGATAGATAGATAGACAGACAGATAGATAGATAGATAGATACATAGATACATAGATACATAGAAAGATAGATAGATAGATGGATAGATAGACAGATAGATAGATAAGATAGATAAGATATATAAGATATATAAGATATATAAGATATATAAGATTAGATTAGATTAGACTAGATTGGATTGGATTGAATTAGATTAGATTAGATTAGAGAGAGATAGATAGAGAGATAGATAGAGAGATAGATAGAGAGATAGATAGAGAGATAGATAGATATAGTTAGATATAGATATAGATATAGGTATAGATATAGATATAGATATAAATAAAGGTATAGATATAGATATAGATATCAATATAGATAGATAGATAGATAGATGGATAGATCGATAGATCGATAGATCGATAGATCGATTAATGGATGGTCAGATAGATAGATGGATAGAGAGAGAGAGAGAGATAGATAGATACATGGATAGATAGATAGATAGATGGATAGATAGATGGATAGATGGATGGATAGATGGATGGATCGATAGATGGATAGATGGATAGATGGATAGATGAATAGATGGATAGATGGATAGATAGATGGATGGATAGATAGATGGATGGATAGATAGATAGATAGATGGATAGATAGATAGATAGATAAATAGATAAATTGCTGGATAGATAGATAGATGGATGGATAGATAGATTGATGGATCGATCGATAGATAGATGTATAAATGTATAGATAGATAGATAGATAGATGGATAGATAGATAGATGGATGGATGGATCGATAGATGGACAGATAGATAGATGGATAGGTAGATGGATAGATAGATAGATGGATAGATGATGATAGATGGATAGATGAAAAGATAGATAAGATAGATAGATTAGATTAGATTAGATTAGATTAGATTAGATTAGAGTAGAGTAGAGTAGAGTAGATTAGAGTAGAGTAGAGTAGATTAGATAGAAGGAAGGAAGATAGACAGACAGACAGACAGATTAGATTAGATTAGATTAGATTAGATTAGATTAGATTAGATTAGATTAGATTAGATTAGATTAGATAGATAGATAGATGGATAAGATAATAAGTAAGATAATAAGTAAGATAATAAGTAAGATAATAAGTCAGATAATAAGTAAGATAATAAGTAAGATAATAAGTAAGATAGATCGATAGATCGATAGATCGATAGATCGATAGATCGTTAGATAGATAGATAGATAGATAGAGAGATAGAGAGATAGAGATAGATAGATAGATAGGTAGGTAGGTAGATAGATAGATAGATAGGTGGATGGATGGATGGATAGATAGATGGATAGATAGATGGATAGAGAGAGAGAGATAGAGAGAGAGAGAGATAGATAGATAGATAGATAGATTGATAGATAGATAGACGGATGGATGGCTGGATGGATGGATAGATAGATAGATAGATGGATAGATAGATGGATAGAAAGATAGAGGGATAGATAGATAGATGGATAGATAGATAGATAGATAGATAGATGGATAGATAGATAGATAGATAAATTGCTGGATAGATAGATAGATGGATGGATAGATAGATGGATGGATCGATCGATAGATCGATGTATAGATAGATAGATAGATAGATAGATGGATGGATGGATAGATAGATAGATAGATCGATGGATAAATAGATAGATGGACAGAATGATAGATGGATAGATAGATAGATAGATGGATGGATAGATAGATGGTTAGATAGATAGATGGATGGTTGGATGGATGGATGGATAAATGGATGGATAGATAGATAGATAAATAGATCGATAGATAAATGGATAAATAGATAGATAGATAATAAGATAGATAGATAGTAAGATAGATAGATGGATATATTGTGAAGTTCCTATATACGTGTTAGGCCTTTTTCTTGCAATGGTTGATTGTTAGACCTCATCTCCACATCCAGAGATCAATTTTTGGCTATGTCCCAAATTTGATACCTCAGAAAATGAGGCAGTCTTCCGGGAAAGGGATGATTGAACATGAGATTTTGAGTTGCCAAAAAATGAAAAACATTACAATTTTGCCTCTTTTCGTTCGGGTTCTCTCCTTTTTGTTGGGGCTCGTTTTCCCATTGGAAAAACTCGGCGGACTTGCTTGGCGCAGGGCTCCTCTTCCTGGATCGCTTGCCAAACATCATTGATGGACATGCCCACGAAGGACAAGCGGCGCGGGGGTAAGGGCTCGACCCCACTCCTGGTGACCATGAAATTTGGATATCGTGGTGATAGAATGGGGATATAATGGTGATGTAGGAGGGATATAAAGGGAATAGAATTGGATATAGTTTGATATCTAACCAACAATTAGGGTTACCCCTCGGTAATCAAAGATGGCTAGCTGGGATATCTCCGAACTCAATCAAGGCTCTGATGGGAAGTTCATCGAACCAAATCGGGAATTCTCTAGCAAACCAGCTTTGATTACCAGAAAATACCTTTTAATCTGGCAAACCCAAGAATAAAAAGCTTTCTCAAGGCTATGGTATTGAATGTTCCCCAGTGAAATTTGATGAATGGGTTTTTCACATTCGGCGTTTATATGCATATATTACTAGGAAAAGATTGAAAGTGGAGAAGACATGAAACTGATTTCCTTAAGCAAACCTGATTGATGGATTCGAAAGGTTTCTGTGATTGTGGAACACCATTCCAATCGTTTGAGCTTCCATTTGTTCCCCTGAGTCTCCAGATTGTCTGTAAATACATCGGGAATGTGTTGTCATCATTTTCCATTAATGGAGGTTTCCTAAAATATGAGGGTACCCCCAGTTATCATCCATGTTTTCCTAAATTTTCGGAGTTTCAACCTGCGCTCGCTGGGGTACAAAAGACTATGGACAACGCCTCATTAGACTATGGAAACCAAAAGCTACCCTCTGGTAAGCTAACATAGCTATTGAAAATGGCCCATTTATAGTTGATTTACCCATTAAAATGGTGATTTTCAATAGCTATGTTAAATTACCAGAGGGTAACCCTTCCGGGGGCCTTTAACGCTGCGCCCACGCTGCGCCCCGGTGAATTCATCAGAGCTCCTGCTGCGCATGCTCATGCTACTTGAAGGTCTCGCTTCCTGGAGACGATAGAACAAATCCAGCAAAACTTCTGGAAACAACGACTGGACAGTGAAAAATCATCCCAACATTGATTGTGTCATATCCAAGTTATTGAGAAACTCATCCCATTGGATATTTCATCAGTGAAAAATCACTTCAGAACTGGATGGAAAACTGGTTTGTGCTCAAACTTATTCGCCATCAAATGGCATTTTCTGAAAATCCTCGTGACCCGCTATCACTTTGATCACCACGGGTTTCCCTAAAAAGACAATAAACTTGAATGTTCGCTTTCAATTCTCCATGTTTTTTTTAACCTCCAAAACTCAGCTAAGGCAGCTAAGGTTGATGGATCCTCTGATTCTCCAATGTAGTTCTCCCACATACCCTCTGGTAATTTAACATAGCTATTGAACATGGCCATTTATAGTGAGTTTTCCCATTAAAAATGGTGATTTTCCATAGTTATGTTAGTTTACCAGAGGGTAAAATCCCCATAAAATCATCCCCTCAGGTCCCAGGTCCCGTTGACGGATCCATAACGTCCTGCTCGGTCTCTGGCCGGAACATCCTTGGTGGTGCTCCTGGCTGTGTCTTCGATAGTCGTGGGGCTACCCCCAGCTCGCTGGATGGTTTCTTTCATGGAAAATGCCACTTAAATGGATGATAACTGGGGGTACCCCCATTATTATTTTGGCAAAGCTCCAAATCAGTTTGTGCCAAGTGTTTTACTCACAACTGACAACTCCATCCTTTGGAAAACTTCTTGGAAGGGCTCCGTGGGCTCTCTTTCACCGAGTCCATCCCCTCCCCCAAAGAGGAGAACAGCTCTCGGTCAGAGACATCGGAGTTGAAGGAACCTCAGTCATGGATAGTCATGGTGATGCAAGGTGGGGCCTCACCTTAACGCGCCAAGTTGGTGAACATTACTAGATGTTTATGGTGGATATTAATTGCTGTGGAGCGAACAGAAACCTGCAATATCTTACCATTGGGCACCACGAGGTGGAGATTCCTATCCAGATTCTCAGTTTTGTCAGTTTAAGTTATGTCTATAAGTCTTGAAGTATGCAGCAATCCTTGTGGCGGCTCCAGAGTCTACAGATCAAATGCCCAGAGTACAACTTCTTTGTCGTGTCACTCCATGTCACTCTACTCTTCAGTGAGTGTGTCTTAAAATGGGGCCTTCAAAAAAAAAAACACAAGTTTCATTCAAACGAGTATCATAAAACATCATGAAACCATGGGTTTTTCCGCATTCCCCAAATTTCAGGTACCCCGGTCTTTGTCGAAGGCACAGGAAGACACCGGCGGCAAATCCGCGGTCTCCGCCCTCCCTGTCCCTGACGATCTTTGGATTCGAAGATATTGGTTTTTAGGTCCTACTGGTCCTACCCGGCCTGGTAAACGTTTGGAAAAAACGATGGAAAATCAGGGATTCTTGGGGATTTATAGGGGATATAATGGATCATACCCTCTGGTAATTTAACATAACCATGGAAAGATCCACCATTTTATAGCTGGGAAAATCCACTATTTGACTATGGCCATTTTCAAGTTCGCAAACTGTAAACGTTTACCAGAGGCTACTTTCAATGGGATTTTCAGGATCCCAACATGGAGGCACTTTTTTCGTGTCAAACTTTTGGTGGAATATCCCCTTCCATATCCCGTTTCATAGCTTGAACAAATCGGACCACTATGGCTCAGTATGGTTTCCACTTTTCTCGGTACCTGAAATGGCTATTGATACCTCCATCGGTCCGAGGATTGGAGGATTCGATCACCAGGGTTGATATCCTCTGGTCAACTAACATAGCAATGGTATAGATGGCCCATGTGATGATCTATCCATTGAACATTGAACGATTTTCCATGATTTTCCATATACCATCTGGTTATGACTAACATAGCCATGGAAGCCATGGCCCATTTGTAGATGGTTTACCTATTAAAAATGGTGATTTTCCATGGCTATGTTAGTCATAACCAGATGGTATTAGGAGATTATGGGTTAATGGGTGACCACCAAATGGGATGATCTTCAGAAATTTTATTGAACATGACCCAACTACTGTATTGGGTATAAATTTTCTCCAAGAAAACTTGAAGGTGATGTTCAAATATGTTCAATATCCCCAAACGGGACAGCTGTCAACCTCTGATTCTTTCCTGTTTCCATTCAACTTCACAAACTTTGTGCGGGACTAATCCAATCCCCCTAATTAACATTGAACACCCGCATTCTATGGTACCAAATAAGTGTGTTTTAATCCTTCAGTTTTTCCATGGTCTCTAGTTCCAAAGGGCCCGGGGGAGTCTCCGGCCAGAAAATTGCCTCTTGCAGATTTCGGTGTTCCCTGAGGGGTTCCACCAGACGTTCCAGGCCGCGGCCTGCAGTCGGTTTGCTGGTTTCACCGGTTTCAAGGGAAAAATTGTGTCTGGACACGAAGAGTTTTACCATCAAATATGGTTGTTCCCGTATGTTTTCCGTTTGACTTCTGGGACGATTGAGCCACCAATACCTTAAAACTTAGAAACGTGCAGGTCGTTTTAGGCTCGTCATCTCAATTTCGTTGAAAATAACAATGGTTGAAAGCACCACCTTGGTGCTGACCCACCTAGATCCGGCACATGCCCAGCACATCGGAAATTCCAGCCGAGTCTTGCGGATCATGTCTTAAAATCATTTTAGGCAAACAGAAAAGAGTCAAAGAATTTGCCAAACCATTCCAGCCCAAAGCAGATTGAAAATGCCATCCCCAAACTCATTCTGTTTATACTTGAATTCTCCAGACCAAGCATTTCAGCAGCACTTGCCAGTCCCATCTGCCAACGCCAAGCTACATCTGTCGCTCTGTGACAGCCCGCAATGGCAAAGCAGGGCGAGAACCACGGCCATTTTTGGGGCTGCGCGGCAGAGGGATGTCACCCTCAGAGTGGAACACGGCACCTGACCGAGGAAAGCGTAGTATGTTATTGAATCAGCCAACTGGGGTTAATGGTAGATGATAGATTGTATCAAGTTAGATTTATCAAAAAAAACATAAAATGTACACATACAATATATGTATATGTATCGAAAATGATGTTGATGATGATGTCGACGATGATGATTCTGATGGTGATCATCATCATCATCATCATCATCATCACCATCACCATCACCATCACCATAATCATCATGATCATCGTCGTCATCATCACCATCATCATCATCGCCGTCATCATCGTCATTGTCATTGCCATCGTCATCATCATCATCCTCATCATCATCATCATCATCATCATCATCATCATCCATCATCATCATCATCAACATCGTCAACATCGTCGTCATCATCATCATCATCGTCATCGTCGCCATTGTCATCATCATCATCATCATCATCATCATTATTTTCATCATCATCATCATCATCATCACTTTCATCATCATCACCATCGGCATCATCATCGTCGTCATCGTCATCGTTGTCATTGCCGTCGTCATCATCATCATCGTCATCATGGTCATCATGGTCATCCTCGTCATCGTCGTCATCACCCTCACTGTCATCATCATCATCATCATCATCATCATCACCATCATCATGGTCATCATCATCGTTGTCGTTCTTGTCATCCTCATCCTCATCGTCATCGTCATCATCGTCATCATCATCATCATCGTCATCATCATCATCACCATCATCATCGCCATAATATTCTTCTTCTTCTTCTTCATCATCATGATCATCATCATCATCATCATCGGTGTCATCATCGTCATCATCGCCATTGTCGTCAATGTCATCATCATCATCATCATCATCATCGTCATCATAATAATCATCATCAGCAGCATCATCATCATCATCATCATCAGCATCATCATCATCAACAACAACAACAATTCGGTCATTTGGTTTGTTTTCAACTCGCATCATTAATGTGGCAGTACCTGCGGGGTGAAACTAAACCACAAACATACCGCGGGGGTCCTGCCTCTCATGCTCATGCTACTCGAGGGTCGTGATTCCTGCGTGGTAAGAAATAGGGGATGAAAACACTTATTTGGGACCATGCAATGGGGTCTTTAATATGCATGAGTGAAGGAATGAGAACATCTAGGTTTATCTGAAAAGAATTCTGCCCAGAATTTGATGATTCCTCATTGTTTTCATTTACTTCCCAATTGACATGGCCATCACATTTCTGGACAAATCCATCCCCATTATTGGTGGCTAAGTAACAATTCTTGTTGGACAAATTCATACGTGTGACGGCTTATTCCTGATTCCAATCCAAAATCTTTAGGGATTCCATGAAAAAATGTTCATTTTTTTACGTCGTCCTATCCGTTTAAAAACATCCCAAAAAGAGCCAGAAGTTTCCGGAGGAAATCCGGTTTTGCCCCATGATCCCACCCCATCATCCTCCTGTGGAAACCGCTGTCCGGCTCCTGTCCCGAGATGTGGCTGAAAGGGGGTGAAATGGGGATTTTGGTATGGAAAATGTCGCCCAAATCGGGAGTCAAGCAATGAATAACTGGTTTTTTTCTGAACCCCCAATGGGGGGAGGACTGTCCCTGGTTGGTGGTAGCCACAGTTTTTAAAGAAATCAATGCTGGTTGGTGGTATACCTACCCCCCTGAAAAATGATGGACTTCGTCAATTGGGATCATTTTTCCCAACTGAATGGAAAGTCATAAAATTCATGTTCCAAACCACCAACCAAATAAATATGAATAATGGATAAGATGGATATGGTTTGTCCAAAACTGAGGGACAAGCCCAAGCACAGCCTGTTGCACGTTTCCTATCGCAAAGCACTGCACTTCCCAGAAATAAGACCAGAAGATGCGATACTTCTCCCTTACCAACTATCAATTTATGGGAAAGTCATTTTCCCAGCATTCCCAGCATTTATGCTGGACCGACCCTGGTGGGCCTATATTTTAAGAGAGCAGGATTTTCAGCTCGGCCCAACCTTTGGTTGTCTTTTTGGAAGCGCTTCGTGGGCTTGGGCTGCTTGCGCTTGCGCCCGAACTCGTTCGTGGCTCCAGCTCTTCCCTCTCCGAGTACAGCGCTGCCAGGTCCGTTGCGTCGATGTCCGAGGTAAAGGAACCTCCAACCGAAGCCAGGTCGCTGTGTCGCGTTTTTTGTGACAAAACATATCAAAAAGGTTGTAACGGCTCTCGGTTGCACTGTTACAGTTACACAATCACCAGCAAGAATCGGTGCTTGATCAGCAAACTTGTATTGATTTGTTTCAAGGGAAACAATGACATGAAACGATGGTTTTTATCAATATGCATGGGGAGTTCTTGGAGTTATGTTCCGTTGATCCAGTTCTGGGACATATGATCATGTCATTTGGGACGCTTTTGCAGTTTGGAGATTGAAATGTGTATGAATTCAAGTTGTGTCTGAAACCATATTCAGTAGCCGGTTGGAATGAGACAATCCTGAAGCTCTGGATTGTAGCATCCTCAAGTCCAAAAAAAAGTGCTATCCCAAAAAGTGATGTTCAAAAATAGTTTCACCATGTTTCACCCATCCAACTGTAGACAAATCACTATATATAAACCCTACAGTTAGTGAGGCCCCCGTTCGATAGCGTTCAGTTGGTGCATTTATAACTCCAATTTCACTATGGTTTATGGTATTTATATCATTTCATGTCTATAGTTACTGGGGCGAATCTAAAAAAAATATAACAATAGTTATAAGTACCATAAACCATAGTATAACCATAGTTATTGTGGTGTATCATGGTGTCCAACCTATATATAAACCCTAGTTGTAGCGCCCTTTGCCTAGGTCCAAACAATAGGTCCCAACCCTGGCGTTTTTTCGCGGCACCCGTCGGAGCTGGGAGCAACTCAAAGGACTCCACCTTCCCTGGCGTATGGCGTATGCAACATGTGGAGCTTTCCATAAAGGCTACCCTCCGGTAATGACTAACATAGCTATTGAAAATGGCCATTGATAGTGAGTTTTCCCATTAAAAATGGTGATTTTCAATAGCTATGTTAGTTTACCAGAGGGTATCCCAAATAGCTGGTTGGTTTCATGGAAAATCGAAGAAGTGGATGATAACTGGAGGTAGCCCTATGACAAAATGGAAACCTCCATGGAAAACCAAAGATTTTTTTTGCAAAAAAAACTGTTATCGAATGAGGAGTAGTGTAGAATACTCAAATTCTGCACGCGTAAAGTGGAGGCAATTACGGCTTTTCTGTTGGACTTGGTAAAATGGCTTTGTCTGCAAAGAGCTACTCCAAAATGTGATAAACCTCATTGCCGTATCCCCTATTTTCAGACAGACACATCATCCCATTACAGCCCCAACTTTTGTAAACTATCCACTAATTGGGAAACTCACTGCGTAGCTCCAACTGGCTCCCCATCAAGCATAGGGAATAAGGATACCCCAATCTCTCCGAATCCCACAGTTTCCTAAGCACCAAATGAGCAGTATTCAAAACCCTCGTCCCTCTGTGCTGCTTGCTAGGATTTCCCAGTTCATGGATTGTGGTACTCGTCAATATATTGGATAGAATAACTCAGAATGACCCCATTACAGGATGGGCCTCCCCCAGTTAAACGTTTGTTAGTTTTTAAGCCCCATTAACATCCATGAACTAGTTCGTTATATCTACCATGAACCATTCTGAAAAACCACCCCTTTCTGTTCGGGGGCCCCATCAGAATCATCCACCAAATGGTACCCTCTGGTAAACTAACATAACTATTGAAAATCACCATTTTTAATGGGTAAATCCACTATTTCTATGGGCCATTTTCAATAGCTACGTTAGTCATTACCAAATGGTAACATGTCTGATTTCCTCCCTACGTCCAACGCCTTGGGGAGAGGCTCCACCTTTCTTTGGAGATCCTGGTGCGCCGCTTCGGGCAGACCTGCAGCATTTCGGGATGGGTATCAACCACCACTGAGGCTTAGAGATAGGGGAAATTTCGTCCGGAATGGTTGGATATTGAATCGTTTGCCTGGATTTTGTGGCTACATTTAAGAACATCACCAAATCTCTGAAATGGCGTATGGTTTCTAGCCGTGGTTGCACCATTGTGGGGGTCAACCATGGTCAACCACATCCTCGTTGGATTACGCGCAACCACCCTCCGCCGCTAGTTGCTGGGAGCACTTCAGTGGCCAGGATCTACAGCGGAAATGGCGAGAGACATTGATCCCTCGACTCAACCATTTATGGTGTTTTTAATGGGATTTCATAGTGATTTTATTGGATTTAATGGTGATTGAATGGAAATTGAATACAAGGTGGTGCCCCCGTTTGATAGCTAAGTTGGTGAACATAACTTCAATAACTATGGTTTATAGGTGATATATCTACGTATAGTTTTTATGGGGTTTACAAACCAAATTATAACTAGGAGGCACCACCTTGTAACACCATTCTTGTAGAGGCACCCAGTCACTCAATGACAAATTGATCCCCTGATTCCTGATTCGTTACTGAGCTACCAGCTAAGTCCCTGCCAATCAATGCCTTGAGTTGGAGGTTCCATAGTAATGGGGGTACCCCAAGAGCTGGTTGGTTTATACTGGAAACTTATATTTGGAAAACCTCTCTTTGGAGGCAGAGGTGGGGACCCAGCCACAGAATGCTCCACAGTTTGCTGCTGAGCGGCAAGTGTCCCCCCGTACTCTGCCGCATAGGTCGACGCGGTGTAGAAGCACTCTTGGGAGTAGAGGGCAGAGGAACTCGATGGCCTTCAGAGTAGAATAACGGACCTCAGATGGTGCACGGGGAAGATATGGGGGTTTCCATAAATGGGGAATCCCCAATAATGGTTTAGAATGGAAAATGATACGTGGAAAATCTCATCTATAAATGTATGATTTGGAGCTACCCCGCATTTCAGGTTTCCCCTCCATATGGATATTTGGATGGGGCAAACCCGTTGGAATTTCATGCCGCTTGAGGGCAAACAAAATCCCCAAACTTCTTGATCATCCTGACCCAACGAACAAAACTAGGGGAAGTCATCAACAACTACCACATGTTCAGGTGATCCTGATGATATAATGTCTCTTCAAAACAGTTTGAAAAAAAAAAGGGCGTAAATGTCTTCCAACATCTTCCAACCCAAAAAACATCTTTGAGAATCTCAACCCAACCCTCAAAAAACACCAAGGCACTATGCAGGTCCATGAGGTCCTGGATTGTTGCGTTTTCATGGAGATCGTGGCTGATTGGAATCCAGGTATGTGGGGGTGATATAAAAACTATGGATATCTTCAAAAACAAGTTGTGGATGTTCAATTAGATGTGGATACCTTTGGTAAGTTGGTTTCTTTATGCTTCATATGAATAACTTGGGTTCATGGTACATATATCTGCGGTTCAATGGGTGAAACTAACGTCTCATGGAAACAGCACTTGCTTTCCAGCAAATTCATGTGTGGAAAATCAATGATTCTCTTGAAAAAAAATCATCTACACCTGATGGATTTCTCAGATCACCCGGTAAAAATGCAGGGAAAAGATCTTCAATCTGCAGGGATCCGTGACCATCTCCAAGAAATCGAGTCGCCAAAAAAAAACAGCTAAAAGGGCAGAGGCCATAGCCTGCCATAGCCTGGATTTGGATGTCAAGCTGGGTCCCAGCTAAGACAAGCCCTGGGTGCTCACCCATAAAAAAAGGATCATCAGGCGCACATAATTCATGTTCAACGGACTGACCAATATATGGAAAATGATCTTAAGATCGAAATTTGGCTGATCACATCTAACTTAACTACGATGATCGGATGATCGTGTTTTTGGCAAACTTGTGTTCATACTTGGAAGATCCCAAGTAGTCAGAAATATTCTGGATATGTGTTCGATCATAAATCCCAAATTGATTTTTAGGGCAAATTCATGTGCCACATCTAAACATCACTCATTGTCCAGAAATATCGCCCGAACCGATTGGAAACACTCTTCCAGATCAGAGATTTGAAATCATCCGAAACCATCCGAAACCATCCAAAAACATCATCCGTTCTTTACAGGATGGGACCCCCCAGTTATAAGTTGGTTTTTAAACCATGAGAAAAACCCCATTAATTAGTTCATTATATCTACCATAAACCATAGAATTCAGTCACTTTTCTAAGCCAACTGAACGCGAACTCGACTGGGGGCCCCATCCTGTAGTTCTTTACATTTTTGTCTCCCAAGATCCTCAAACTATTGTCCCATTGGGCCCATTGGGATACGAGTTGCCTCATCATGTCTGGGTTCGATGGTTCGAGAGCCTCTTCAGGCTCAAGTTTCGCCAAAGCGTTGACCACTCAAAATGGAGGTTTCCATAGTCATGGGGGTATCCCCAATAGCTGGTTGTTTTTTTCAAAATCCGAAAATATTTCATGGATGATAACTAGGGGTACCCCCATGACAAAATGGAAACCTCCATATGATATATACAAGAATCAGAGATACTTTCGAGAATCAACAGGAACTGTGTTTCCCTGTCTCCAATTTTAACACTTACGCATAGCCCGTGCTTCCAAATTGTTTCCAAATCGTTTGCACGTGTGTCAAGCAGAATTCCTTTACTGGAGGCTCAACGCCAAAAGAGGGGCCCCACCAGCGGGGATTCAGGCGTCACAATTGATTGACCGGGGCTTTGGTCACTTAATTCTCCAGGTTTGGACAATCAATATATATATATATATGTATATATATGTATATGTTTGTATGTATGTTTGTTTGTATGTGTGTGTATATATATATATTATACACACATATACATATAATGACATATACTATACAGATGTGTCGTGTCAAAAACCCTCATGGTCAAATCTCCCCTTTGGTAAAATCTCGCCAATTCTCGCCCTCGGCCTCCCACACTTCTCGCCGCCCGCGCGACTCGGGCCATTGCGCCGAACTCGAGCCTCAATGGCTGAAACACGCTGATGGCTTAGAAACTGCTGAAAAGGTTGGGGAGATAATGTGATATCTACATAGGTATTGATATAGATAGAGATATAGATATAGATATCCGCCGACCTTCCTCTTCCGTGGCTGAGGGAGGGCGGCGCCTGGGACCACCTTTGGTGTGGGCCACCTTTGGTGTTGATCCCAGGTATTGCGTTCCCTGGCAGATGCCGGGCATCGCTTTCAGCTACAACAGGTGTTAAAACGCTTTCGGCAGCGCAGCGTGGGCCACCAAGTCCCTTCACGCTGGCTCGTTTGGGGTTCAAGCCTGCCGTTTGCCACCCCTCCAGCTTCTTAAACTGTCCGCAGCAGCGTGTGGACGCTTGCGCTGCCTTTGCCATGCTTGTTGCGGGTTCAAGACTGCCGTTTGCGAGCCTTCAAACGCCGAAACTCTCCGCAGCGGCCCTACACTGTGTCTTGTTGGGGGCTCAAGACTGCCGCTTGCCAGCCTTCAAAGACTTAAACCCCCCACAGCGGCCCTACACACTGTCTTGTTGAGGCTTTAAGAGTGCCGTTTGCCGGCCTTCAAACGGCTCAACCCTCCACAGCGGCCCTACACACTGTCTTGTTCAAACGGCTCAACCCTCCGCAGCGGCGCTACACACTGTCTTGCTCGGGGCTCAAGACTACCATTTGCCACCCTTCAAACCCCTAAACGCTCCGCAGCGGCCCTACACACTGTCTTGTGGGGGCTTCAAGACTGCCGGTTGCCAGCCTTCAAACGTGTCAACCCTCCGCAGCAGCCATACACACTCTGTTGTTGGGGCGTTACGCCGTTTGCCGGCCTTCAAACGCGTCAACCGTCCGCAGCGGCCCTACACATTCTGTTGGTCGGGGTTCAAGAGTGCCGTTTGCCAGCCTCAGCCTCCAAACGTTTATTCAAACTGTTAAACCTTCGCAGCGGCCCTACAGACTGTCTTGTTGAGGCTTTCAGAGTGCCGTTTGCCGGCCTTCAAACGGCTCAACCCTCCGCAGCGGCCCTACACAGCACTGTCTTGTTCAAACGGCTCAACCCTCCGCAGCGGCGCTACACATTGTCTTGTTGAGGGTTCAAGGCTGCCGTTTGCGAGCCTCCCAACCCCTTACACACTGTCTTGTTGGGGCTGCAAGAGTGCCAGCCTTCAAACCCCTAAACACTCCGCAGCGGCCCTACACAGTGTTTTGCTGAAGCTTCTACTCAAGACTCCCGGCTGCCAGCCTTCAAACGCGTCAACCCTCCGCAGCGGCCTTGCACACTCTATTGTTGGGGCGTTACGCCGTTTGCCGGCCTTCAGACGCGTACTGTCCGCAGCGGCCCTACACATTCTGTTGTTGGGGGTTCACGAGTGCCGTTTGCCAGCCTTCAGACCTTTATTCAAACCGTTAAACCCTCCGCAGCGGCTCTACACACTGTCTTGTTGAGGCTTCAAGACCACCGTTTGCTAGCCTTCAAACCCTAGCCACACTGTCTTGTTGGGGCTTCAAAGGAGGGTCGGCGGCACCCGGGCGTTAGCCCATTCGATACACATATAATGGACTGTACATTATATCTATACAGCTAGACAGTATACATATCTCTGTGTGTGTTTGAGAGCATGTGGGTGTTTATACCTTGAAGTCACAAGCCCAGGAGCAGTTGACTGCCGTGTTTTCTCCGCCACGTCGCCGGGCAAAGCCAAAGCGCTTCGCAAACTGCTCCGATCTACGGGGAAAAAGAAAAAAAAAACAGCAGGAAGACTCGGCACCGAAATGGCTTAGAGATGAACCGTCCTGTGTATTTTTATATACTTTTTATATTTATATCTGTACATATGTATATGTATAGTATTGTATGGTAAAACATATGGAATTTTTAAGAAAACTCTTTGGGGGATCTACAACCGTCCCATATTTAAGTTCAATTAGCCACGGTCAAGCTTCCCGTAAAGCAATGTCATAGTTCAATCACGGGTAGAAATATCGTAGCATACTTCATTTTACCATCTTCTAGTTTTGAGATGCTCACAACATAAGATTTATCCTTGGTTTTACCACATCAGCTTCCTTGTAATTAGATGATCTCTAACTCTCCCCAAATGCTCTGCAATTTCCTGCTCCACGTGTGGAAGAGATCGACCGACTCAAGAGTTTTAACTAATCTCTGCCATTTAGGGTGTCTGCGCTCACGAGCCAGACTCATTCACTGAAAACTATTTGCGCTGCGTTGGCTTCAATTTAGACGGTTGTCATAGTTGCTTCAAATACCGTGTCTTCCTGTTTGTAGACCTTTCTACTTTGACCTCTGATCAAAGCAGGAAGCCGTCAAATACGGCTTGAGCAGCAGGGAGGACTTTGCCGAAAAGAAAGGTTTCAAGGTTTCAAGGTACTAATAGATTATGACATTATTGCACATTATTGCATTTTCCAAACAACATTCAGCACTTTTCAGACATAAAACCACAGGATTTTGAGACTTTCGCTTGTCTCCCTGCCCCAAGCCCCACTCTCCAGGCGGTCACTGAAAAGATGGGGGGTTAACTTAACAGGTCGAATCACAGAATTCATCCGAATTCTGGAGGAAAAACTCAGGCCCCAAAGGACCAACAAAGGACCCAATGACCAGCTGGAATTCCGCTGGCCAATTTAAAAGAAACATCAAACTGCAGTCAAATGTTGGCTGAAGGGGCATCATTGGTTTTTTTTGCTTTAAACTAATCACACTAAACGAAATTCAATGACATCCTTGAGTAAAAACATCCTCAAGAAGCCCCTCGCGTCAAAGACTGCGTTCAAATCACAAGATCGGGATGTTGAAGCACCCCTGGTAGATGATTCACATCTCCAAATTGTATTCAGAAACTCCGTGATAAAATTGGTAATGTGGGTATAACAATGTCATTTGCACCATCCCCCAGTCATCACCGTTTTTATAGGTGGTATAAATTAAACCATTCCCAAATGAGTGGTTTATGACATTGCTTTACCCACATGATATGAAATACATTGAAATACAAAGTGAATCTGATGATTCAAAGGCGCCAACGTCAGTGACGACTCAAACTAGTCGTCACTGCGGGGCGATTCAGTTGCTACGCCTAACGGCTCTAGCCGAGGCGGACGCACGTGGTTCAGGACCGACATGGTCTGCAGAAACCGAGGCCTGGCGAATTGAGTACTGGGACAGTGGTCAGTAATGGTTGGTAATGGTTGATGGATAATGTTTAATGATCTATAACTGGTTGGTGGTTTGGAACCATGGAATTTTATGACTTTCCATTCAGTTGGGAATGTCATCATCCCAACTCCCTTTCACTCGCATTTTTCCCCACATCTTTGTGTGGGGTTCTTGTTTTTGGTTGTGCACTTCCGCCTGCCTCCCGCCTCCACGCCCCGCCGCCCACACACAACTTATTCTCCACACACAACTTGTCCACACACAACTTGCTCACACACAACTTACTCACACACCACCTACTCACACACAACTTGTCACGACACACAACTTGTCACCACACAACTTGCTCACACACAACTTACTCACACACCACCTACTCACACATAACTTGTCACCGCACAACTTACTCACACACACACAACTTGTTCACACAACACTTACTCACACACAACTTGTCCACACACAACTTACTCACACAACTTCATCGACCGTCACTTTGCATGGCAGGCGTGGGACTTGGTGACATCGACCTTCACTTTGCGTGGCAGGCGTGGCACTTATGGCCCTGGACTGGCTCTGGTGGCGCGCTTGGGTCCTTTGGTCGCCGCGGCTGTTTGCGTGGCAGGCATGGCACTTGGCGACATCGACCTTCACTTTGCGTGGCAGGCATGGCACTTATGGCACTGGACTGGCTCTGGTGGCACACAAAACTCTTCCACACAACTTTGTCACAGATTCCTTTCACACACAACTTTGTCAGACAAGCCTTTCACACACAACTTTGTCACACCCAACTCTTTCACACACAACTTTGTCACACACAAATCTTTCACACACAACTCTTTCACACACAACTTTGTCACATACATCTCTTTCACACGCAATCTTTTACACACAACTTTGTCACATACAACTCTTTCACACACAACACTTTTACATACACAAACTTACACACACAACACTGTCACACACAGCTCTTTCACCCAACCTGTCTTGCACCATCTCCTTTCCTTCCTGCCTTTCCCATCTCATTTTCACATCTGCTTGTGATCGTTGGAAGAAGTTGATTTGTGGGGTTATCCGATCCTTTATTTCAATTGGTTCTTACATGGATCATGATTGATGTAGGTTTCACCTGTCAGAGTCAGGTCTGTCATAAACTTGCACGAGTTCGCAAAAAGAGAACATGTTCGGATGCTGAATTTGGAAACATGAACTTGCCCTCGTCCGAGTCGGAGCAAACAGGGCAAAGATACGCACTCCAAACGGAAGGGTTGTGGTGATGAAGGCTCCGAATCAGAGATTCTTCGTGTTTCAGGGCACAGTCGATTTTTTGGCACTGTGATAAAGATGGTGCAGATTTTGACAGCCTATTCTCATCCAGATTTCGTCATCCTGGTACCCCATTCCTGGGGCCGCGGGTTGCACTTATTGTATTCATTTTGCAAAATGATCTAGAAAACTGGTCCCAAAATAAAATGTAAAGGTATTTCAATGTATCAACTTGTATCAACGTATTTTGTTGGATAGACTGACTTTTCTACTCCCTGAACGCCTTCCATTTCTGGTTACACATCTGGCCATCTCGCCTCGTGAAGGTGGCTTCCCCCTCGTGCCGCCCCGTCACGAGGCGAAAGATGAAGTCCACGTTGTCCGGCGAAAGCATTCGCGTTTTGAGCAGCTGATCCTACTGTGAGTTGGGCGAATAGTGCAAACTTCATGATAAATCCATCTCAATCCCCCATAGTGCATTCTCTTCATGTATCTTGAAGCTGATGCAGTCTGTTGGAAAGATCCCCAACGGGGACGACGTGTGTACATCATAGACTTGGAGAGGGGTTTTCACCTGAATGTACTGGAGGCATATGACCACCAACGAGATCGAAAGGGAAGCCCGCAGCCCCATTGACTGTCTTTTGACTGGGAACATCTGCTGGCTTCACTTGGAAGGTCCTATTTTTTTCACAGGTCGATTCACAAAATCCATGAAAAGTGGACCCGGTCCTTCGTGGCCACATCGTTCTCAAGACCCAAAAGGTCAAAGGCCTGCCGGGGGTCACTGCCGGGCCCCCCCAAAGGCGGATAGTTTACCAACAAAAATTGTGACTTCAATCTGGTTTCATGGGATTTAATGGGACTTAGTTCACTAAGTTGGTGAACACAATTCCAATAACTATGGTTTATGGCAATTTGAACTTTAGTCAATGGGGTTTATGAACCAACAAACATAACTGGGGGGGGGCCTACTTTGCAGCCGCTGGAGAGTTGTCAATTCTTGGTCAGCGGTGTTGAGACATTTGGTAGAATATAACTGGCTTGGAATTTGATTTTTTGATGCCGTGTGGGTTTTTTCCTGGGCTATATCCCAAAGATGCGGGAAATGATAATAAACCATTGGTATACCTTGATAGAGGATGACAAACCACTGGATTTTTTCCCCATTCGATAGCGCCAAAGTTGGCTTTTTGCACCTCATTCCATTTGCTCCACCTCTTGAGGTCTGCTCGACGCTTCACCACTTCCTACGGCATGGCGTTCATGGCTCCCCATATGATGCGGTTTTAAAATCCATGGGAAAGGGGGAAACCATCCTCCAAAAGATATGCTTTTCTCGTTTGATCCTGTCACCAGTTCACTGGGCTGTTCCAACCAGCCAAACTATGGTCGTCCTGCTTTGGGTGTGGAGGTGGTGGATTGGGAAGGTAGAGCCGTTGCTTCTGCTGGATCTTCTCTTCCTGTGCTCCGTGGTTTTAGGGACCCAAAAGTATCCAACTTGGCACAGATTTATGTAAGCTATTATCTGAATCCTGGTCAAGAATGATTGAAATCAATCCACAAAGGAAAAATGGCAGTGGAATATGAATGTATGGGCTGTCTGTAGTGAAAACACCATTACTGCAAAGTGTTCAAACGATTACGGCTGATCTTCGCAAGCCCGACATGTGCAACCAAATTTGTCAAAATCTGGTTGTCTCCAGGTCGTTAGCAACTGCTGGTATAGTACAAGGTAGGCCCCAGTATTCTATAAATTTTCTAAACCCTACTGTAGTTCTTGGAGTTAGAGACCAACTGTCCTTTTTTGTGCCCAGCAGTGCCATATCTGCCTGTGCCTGGCCTGAAGCGCCAAGTGCTTCACCAACATCTCTGACAGGACTTCATCCACGACGGAATGTCCATGGAAGGTCCGATAATCTCCTGGAGCACAGGCTTGCAAATAATCCTGGCGATCGGCGAAGGAACCGACTCTTTTTCTTATGGAAAAAACATGGTGACCTGAAAAAAAAAACACACACAAACCATTCAGGGCGCCCTGAAGAAAATAGGAGGTCAATGGTCAACTTCTCCTGTTTACATGGTTTATATGTTTTACATGTTTCAATGAATTTTTATCCCTGTAATGTTGTATCCTGATTAGTGTCTAGGTTCGCTATTGTGGCCAAAATTGTCCAAACTAGTCAGGGCCCCAGCAATGTTTGTAAGGTTCACTATTGTGGCAAGAATTCTTGGGAGACCATTTTGTTCGTCCAAAAAAATATGTTTGTAAAAAAAACGAACATGTTTTCTGAAAAAATATTGCTTGTCTCCCTGTCCCAAAGAATCAGACCGCTTATTAAACCCTTAAGAAAGAACAGATTCTCCACAAATTTCCAAGGCACTGGGCCATGAGAGGGTCCAGTTCACTTTAGTAATTTTGTTCTCAGTGTTCGCAATTGCAGCAATTTTTCCAGAGCTGATTCTGGAGCCAAGAGAAGAAAGAAAAGCCTTTCACAAAAGCAATTGCCAAGTTCACAAAAGCCTCTCTCTCTTTCTCTTTCTCTTTCTTTCCCTTTCTCTTTTTCTTTTTCTCTTATTACACTTTTTAAAAACAACTTAAGGTGGAAAAGGTAACGCAATCGACATGCTGAACCCCATGTACTACAAGGTACTACAAGTACTACAAATATCGCAAGTTCATCGGCATTCTTAAGTTTCAATTAGATGTCAATTGTCGCCAACTGAAATCCTTACTTAAATGCGGGATCGTATTTTTTCTGGAGAGGAGTTTTTTGACACCCAAGCTTAAAGAGTGTATAGCTATTGTTTGGGGGGGGCACACACAAATCAGGACGAAACATTGATATCAATGTGATCCCACATCGCCTCCTCCGCCAAGTGGGGAGCCCTCATCTGGTGTGCGTTCAGCAAATCTCGCCGAATTTCGCTGGGCAATGGCGGCTTGCTACAATAACTGCTGAACAGGTGCAGCTGCTGCCGCGTCACAGAAACCTGGTTGCCGGATGTTGCCACTTTGGGTCGTGCGCGATATATATTGGGGGGGACGCATCCAGCTGGGGATATCTTGAAAAAGATGGGGGTATACTGCAACCAAGTTTGTGGATGGTCGCCATGCAACATGACGTCAACTAATATGGAGATCTCCGAAAAAATATGGGGGGTCAGACCATTGGATAAGTTGATATCGGCGCATGTGTCATCATCGCGTCCGTACATAATGGGTAAGTGGCTAGTAAGCCATACAGCACTGGGGATGTCCAAACTGAGTGAACTAGCTGCATGGTTGTCACATACCCATGCCAAAACACTTTGGTAGCTGTGGAGATATTCCAGACTTCAGGCTTGAAGCACTTGAATCCATGAATCATGTTCCATCTTTTCCCGAAAAGTTACTCTCTGGTAAACATACAAAAAAATCACCATTTTTCATGGCTAAATCAACGAACATTCTAGGGCCATTTTCAATAGCAAACTGTTTGTTTACCAGAGGCTAATCCCCATTCTATCCCCTATAAATGCCTATAAATCCCCATTCTATCCCCTATAAATCCTACAAATCCCCATGGTATCCCTAATTTTATCCCACCTGACGTCGCAATAGCTCCAGTTGATCATACTCCTTCACCCAGTTGTGAAACATCCTGAGGTGTCTTCCAGTGGCCTGGACGGCTTGACGTGAGAAAACTTGCCTCATGTTACTTGCCAGTACCACATGATGGAAATGGCCGAAGCATTATTCAGAAAATCAGAAAAAACTCTGATTTCAATGGTGATGTTTTTACCTTCGCAAATGCTAAGGGTTTTGAAAACCGGAGGCTCCCATCGACAAAGAATCGCACCCTCCGCCTGAGGGCACAGAGATTTGAACAAGTTGGACAGGACCGACTTTCCAAATCCTAGCGATTTTTGCGCTGTCAAAGCGTGAAACCCTAAAAAAGAACCTCAAATTCACCGAACCCCAATAAGCCCAAATAAAGAATAAAGCCGAAGCCAAATCAACCATCAATAGACTAATAAATAGACTCTAAATCCCCTCAAAGAACCCTAAATAGACCCGGAAACCCCCAAACAATTCCTAAACCAACCCTAAAAAGAAACCCTAAACCAACCCTTAAAAAGACCCAACCGACCCGAAAGAAACCCTAAACTCATTGAACTAATGCTGAAGGAACTAAACCCTCAATTTTTGTCAGATTTATCAGGTCCTCGAGATTCCTCCATCCAGATAAGTCCACGTTGGAGTTTCGCGAGCCAAAAGTTGTGGTCAATGGGCCCAACTACTGCCTCTGCGTCCGAGTGCAAAATGTCAAAGTTGCCACTGGACAAACAGTGCTTGAAGAGCCTCTGTATTACCTCAGAACAATTCTGTGAGAGCTACAACTCAACATAATTCCAGGATCCCTGATGTCTTGTGAATCGAAGCTGTTCCCACCTTTTTATCCAAGACAAATCTTCGGTTCCAAAGTTTCCGCTTCTGTCTAAATGCTCCCAAGGGGTCAATTTTCACGGCCAAGTTGCTGGTAAAAATGTTTCCAATGTTTCATTTTGGCAGTTTGCCCCAAGGTTCGAAACAACTAATTCGCATAAATTCATTATAGTTTATTATCATTAGATACTAAGACACTATTACTAATTCACATTATCAGGATCTATACATTAGAGAGGTGATGGGGTTTCCGGCGCCCACCCAGCGAAGCACCCAGCAAATTCCAAGGCACAATCACTTGATGTCATCAGCTGCCCCAAACGGAATCTATCAACCTATACACTATCCTATACTCATGTCTCCCCTGCTTTCCGTGGCTCAAATGTTCTCTCAAAATGCGGGATGCACCCTAAAATAACCAGTTTAATGTGTAACATTATGACAAACCGTGGTGTTTAAGATTATTAAAAAAACTACCTCAGCCAAAGTTGCCAAGTGGCGAGTTAAAAAACCTGCATCTAACGACGCAGCCGTCTCTAACGGCATCTCCACTGGGGCCCGATGCGACAGTTGGAACTTGCGAGATTCCTCAGGGTGCAGACGATGGCTTAGAAAGTCAGATGACCATGACACGTCGTTTGATCAGCAACATCAGCATCATCATCATCATCATCATCATCACCATCATCATCATCACCATCACCATCACCATAAGTTTCATCTTCACCATCACCATCACCATAAGTTTCATTCATCTTCACCAACACCATCACCATAAAATTTTATTTTCATAATAATCTAATTAAAAAAATAATCATCATCATCTAAATCCTCATCATCATGATCATCATCATCATCATCATCCAATCAAGGATGTTTGAAAATTAAATCCACTTTACCATCCTTCAATTTTTCGGAAGAAAACTGGTGACTATGATGTGTAACTATGTGTAACTACCCTCTGGTTATTTAACGTAGCTATGGGAAATCATCATTATTAATAGGTAAATCATCACATATAATTAAATCATCTACAAATGGGCAACTTGCCATAACTATGTTAAATAACGAGAGTGTATATCCCATTAAATTACCAGTAAATCCCACTAAATCCCATTAAACCACCATTAAACCACCAGTTAATCACCATATTATTAAATCACCACTATATCACCAATAAATCACCATTAAATGATCAGGCAAACCATATAATACCCTCTGGTAAACTAACATAGCTATTGAAAATTGTCATTTATAGGGGATTTACCCATTAAAAATTGTGATTTTCCATAGTTGACATGGTAAACACCACCGATCATCCGTTGAGTATATCCCACTGGATTTATCCCACGCCACAACGAGTTCCTCCCAGCGTCATCTTCGAAGGCCTCAGGATCATCATCCTGGCGAAGAGATTTGTCGAAAAAAACATGTTGACATATATGATGTGTTTTCAAGTATGTGTATAAATAAAATACTATGTATATGTCATATATCATGCATATATCACGTATATATAATATACCATGTATATATCCACATACATCATGTGTATATCATGTATATTTCATGTATATATCATATATCATGTAATTATCATGTATATATCATGTTATATAATCGAAAGAAGTTTAGAAGTAAAACTTCCGACAATATGGACAGATGAAAAGCAGAGATGGGAAGAGTCAGAGAGAAGAGAAGAGTAGAAGAGAGAAGATCAGAGAGGAGAAAGAATCAGAAGAAAGAAGATGCAGGTGCGCGAAAAGGTAGGAAAGTTGCGAAACGCTGTGTTTTTCCAATGATTTGTGGCTCCGGGGGGTCGACAAGTAGGCTCGCTAAAGCGGCGGGTGCGGAGCCATCTGGCCAGATGAGAGATGAAAAATTGCACGCCGTTGTGGCGCGAAGCACATTTCGGCACATTTCCAAGTCAAAATGTTAAAAACACACCAGTTCCGGACCACTTTTTGGAAGTTGAGATGTCGAAAAAGTGCACGCCGCTGTGGCGCGAAGCACATTTCGAAGTCAAAATGTACAAAATACCACATGTTCGGACCACTTTTTGGAGGTTCAGATGTCGTTTCGCGTGGCAGGCGCAAGGGATTGTGCACCTTGTCAAAAGTGAGCAAAACGTGAGGGTTTTGTAGCATTTTCAACTACAACTACACCACACTACACACCAATACACTTCACTACAACTACAACTACACCTTCACTACATTCCACTACACTACACTACACTACACTCAACTACACTCCATTACACTCAATTACACTCAATTACGCTACACTACACTATACTACACTACCCTACACTGACTTATGATCGTGGGGCTGCCTGATCCGCTGATCCGCTGATCCGCTGATCCACTGATCCGCTGATCCACTGATCCGCTGGTCCACTGATCCGATGATCCGCTGATCCGATGATCCGCTGATCCGCTGATCTGCTGATCCGCTGATCCGCTGGTCCGCTGATCCGCTGATCCGCTGATCCGCTGATCCACTGATCCGATGATCCGCTGATCCGCTGATCCGATGATGGCTGGGCAGCAGGATGATGATCCGCTGATCCGATGATCCGCTGATCCGCTGATCCGCTGATCGGCTGATCCGCTGATCCGCTGATCGGCTGATCCGCTGATCCGCTGATCCGCCGATCCGATGATCCGCTGATCCGCTGATCCGCTGCTGGTGCCTTCAATGTCTATGTGGAGGCTCATGGGCAACGTGCTCTGCTGTCGGGATGAGATGCGGCCAAGGGACAATCCCATCCGGAAGCGCCTCCGGACCTGGGTGGACAAGTGAAGGCGCATGATGCGGAGACAGATTTTTACAAGTCTGTGTGCGAGCAGATCTGCAAGGAAACAAAATCTTAGCGCTTGTCGAACGAAACCGTTTTTTAGGCAGTCACGGCGCAGTCACGGCGCAGCCTCTGCTACCGTCACTTCTTGTTTAAAGACCAAGCCATTTCCTGCAGGAAAAAGACAAAGCCAAAGCGATTCATATGCTTTGTTTGATGGCGGTAGGCGGACAGCCACGTGAACGTAAACTCACAGACCGATGTTCTAATTCCTTGCAACCGATCAGCATGATGCGGCAAATCTGGATGGCAAGTTTCGTGGCAAAATGTGTGTGATTTGCCATGTGGAACGGGTCGATGGCAAAGCTCATTGCTGGGGGCGCAATGGAAGCCGCAGCTGCCGAGGCCTGACAGGTCCAGTGACAGGGCCAGCAACGAATGAGAGAAACATGAGAAAGTATAACAGTCCTTCAGCTTCCAAAAAAAGGAAAACAGTTAGGGCCACCCGGCCTCCTTCCTTTTCAAACAATACTTGTAGAGGTGGCAGCTGTCATCGTGAACCAAGAGGACTGCCTCAGGAACTGCTGCCTTGGCCGCGGCCAGACAGAAATACCTTTGAGGCAAGGGGATTCGCTCCCGTGAACCTCTTGCATGAGCATGATGATTCCAGAGGAGAGACAGACACAGAGAATTCCAGCTGTTTTTGCCAACATCACATCAGATCTGTCTTCTTTGTGTGTGGCGCACGTGACTGCTTGCAAATCTTCTGGCGAGGAGTCCGGAAGGAGTAAAGTTGGCGAGCTGCCTTCGTCTTCGGCTTCAGCTGGCAAGGGTTGCAGGCGACTTTTTTCCGCTGCTTCTGCCGTGCCTGACCGGCCCTGTTGAAGTACTCTTCCCGCAAAGCCTTGCTCACAGAACCTTCAGAGACCCATGCAGATCTGCCTTCACCCCCAATCTCAGAGAGCCGAAGTTCGATGCCATTGTCACCTCGCACGCGGTGCTTGACCACTTTCATGTCCTGCATGCAACTCAGCCAGGGTTGCATATTGAAAGGCAAGGTTTTGGCTCCAACTGTTTCAGCCTCACGGAAGCCCAACCCTTTGAAAGTTTACGCACTTATTTATGGGCTTTTACATGATCTGTAAAACTTCTAAAAACAATGCACATGTTTGAAGCGGGTAGGTGCACTTGCACTGGTGCACTTTTCTCTGGGCCGCAGCGCGCTCATGTCAGGAGATTGCGTCACTGATTCTCCCCCTTCTTTCGGCGCTTCGCAGCATGTTTGACAGCAGCTTGCTTTGCTTTCTCCACTGCCTGCGTCATGGAACCAACCAGCTCACGCAGCGTGAGACCGCACAATGTCATCAGATGGTTGTGGTACTGGACACGGAGGCCAGGATCATCTGGAATTCTGGCCACGTGCAACTCATCACCGCTCAGCTGGAGGATCGGGCATTCCTTGCAGGCACTGGTCATGACGGCCATCCAATTGGTTTTAGGCAGCGCTTTGCGGCCTTTGTCACTGGAACTGCGGAGCCCGTCACAGGCTTGCTTGCAGGTGATCTTTGGCGTGCCATGTAGCAATGTCATCTTGGCGATGTACCTGTCTGTCAAGTGCTTTGCGTGCAAGCAGGGCTGAACAGAAAGACCACGATCGCCATAACCAAAATCGATCGATCGCACTTGGTCGATATTGAGTGGCTGGAGCCCTTGCACTGGTGGAAGCGGCGCTGGTTCAGGAGGCGGCTGCTGTGCCGGAGATGCCTCCCCATGATCATGATCTTCTTCATGGTCAGGGCGCCCATCGCTGTCCACTTGCTCCTCGTCTGCTGGCGCCTCTGCCTCTGACTGCTCAAAATCTTGGTCTGGCACTTCCAAGGCGGAGAAATCATCAGGTGGAGGGACTACTTGCTGGTTTGGGCCAGGTTCTTCTCCTTCCTCGCCCAAAGAAATGGCCTTGATCGCGTGGACCTAAGCGATCAATGTAAACCAAAAATTGGAAACAGGTGTTGGTGAGCAAAACAGGTACGGACTGCTAATGGGAATACTTGCATGCATGCACGTTGTTTTTTCCATGGGGTACCACGAAGCACGCGTATCTGACGGCAGTGCAGGACAACTGAGGATCCAGCGATTTTCATCAAGGCAAAGGCCCTCTTCAAATGGTCTGCTGTGATTCGCAAAGATCTTGCTTCCAGCTGCTCTGCTGAGTACACCCCGGCAAAGATTTCATACACTAGAAGGCATCCAGAGAGAACCCCAATCTGCCAAGGTGCAGCTCCCATCCTAGCACCTGACATTGTGTCCCCTTTCTCTCGTGCCACGTGGCTTTGCACATTGAGACCTCCTTGGTATGACGTGTGCCACTGGGCTGCATCTTCAGAGAATTCCAAATTCATGTGGGGGGAAGCAAAGTAGTCCGTGACCCTTTTCACTGCAGATCCAAGGGCAAACTCTGGCGGAACAGTGAAGGACCGATTGGCCACACGCCATTCAGGCATGAAACCTGTTGCTTCACCAGCATCTCGACGAAAGCGAAGCCTGCTCATGATGCCGTCCAAGAGCCTGACGGGGTAGCCTCCCGAAAACTTCTATACTAATCAACCAATGAACTCGCTCCGTCGATGTCACTTGCAGTCCTTGACTCAAATGCTGGATGATCCGACAACCTGAGGCCATGCACGTGTACTGTGGCATGCTAAGTCGATCCTGCGATCGAAGGAGTCGGTCCAGGTGTGTGCGTAACATGCATGCGTGCCTGGGGGGTATGGCGCGCATGAACCGCGGATCCGCTGATCCGCTGATCCGCTGATCCGCTGATCCACTGATCCGATGACCCGCTGATCCGCTGACCCGCTGATTCGCTGATCCGCTGATCCGATGATCCGCTGATCCGATGATGGCTGGGCAGCAGGACCCGCTGATCCGCTGATCCGCTGATCCGATGATCCGCTGATCCGCTGATCTGCTGATCCGCTGATCCGCTGGTCCGCTGATCCGCTGATCCGATGATCCGCTGATCCGCTGATCCGATGATCTGCTGATCCGCTGATCCGATGATGGCTGGGCAGCAGGATGATCATGAGTGTGACTACACTACATTCCACTCCACTACACTACACTACATTCCACTACACTGAATGACACTGCACTACACCTACAACTACAACTACAACTGCAACTGCAACTGCAACTACACCACAGTACACTACACTAATGACATTACACTACACTACACTACACTACAGCACACTAACTACAACTACAACTACATAAGAACACACTACACTACACTAGCACTACACTACACTGCACCTCACTCCACTACCCTACGCTACACCTGACTACACTACACTAATTGCATTACACTACGCTACACTACACTACACTACACTAATTGCATTACACTAGGCTACACTACACCACACTACACCACACTACACCACACCACACCACACTACACTCAATTACACTGCACTACATTACCCTACCCCACATTGCATTACATTACATTAAAACGCACTCATTACACCACCGCAAATGCAACTGCAACTACACTACCCGAATTGCACTACACCATAACTACAACTCCACTACACTACAACTACAACAACAGCTGCGCTACACCACACTACATCCAACAGTTGTGGGTGAGGTTACCGACCAGGTGACCACTGCAACCATTGCAGCCACTCCAAAAAACACAGCTCCAACCACCTTTCGGTCCATCAGTGGATTCGCTCTGCCATCCGTGATTCACAACAACCAACCTCTCCTATAGGCTTCCTATTTTTGAAACTTCCGACTTGTATACCATGTATATATCATATATATCATGTGTATATCATGTATATTCCATGTATATATCATATATCATGTATATACCATATATAAATATTTTCGAAGGAAGTTTAGAAGTCAAACTTCCGACAATATGGACAGATGAAAACTAGAGATGGGAAGAGTCAGAGAGAAGAGAAGAGTAGAAGAGAGAAGAGCAGAAGAGAGAAGATCAGAGAAGAAAGAAGATGCAGGTGCGCGAAAAGGTAGGAAAGTCGCGAAACGCTGTGTTTTTCCAATGATTTGTGGCTCCGGAGGGTCGACAAGTAGGCTCGCTAAAGCGGCAGGTGCGGAGCCATCTGGCCAGATGAGAGATGAAAAATTGCACGCCGTTGTGGCGCAAAGCACATTTCGAAGCCAAAATGTACAAAACACACCAGGGTTTGGACCACTTTTGGAAGTTGAGATGTCGAAAAAGTGCGCGCCGTTGTGGCACGAAGCACATTTCGAAGTCAAAATGTACAAAGCACACCAGGTTCCGACCACTTTTGGAAGTTGCGATGTCGAAAAAGTGCACGCCATTGTGGCGCGAAGCACATTTCGAAGTCAAAATGCACAAAACACACCAGGTCCGGACCACTTTTGGAAGTTGCGATGTCGAAAAAGTGCACTCCATTGTGGCGCGAAGCACATTTCGATGTCAAAATGTACAAAACACACCAGGTCCGGACCACTTTTTGGAAGTTGAGATGTCGAAAAAGTGCACGCCGTTGTGGCACGAGCACATTTCCAAGTCAAAATGTTAAAAACACCTGGGGTTCGGACCACTTTTTGGAGGTTCAGATGTCGTTTCCCGTGGCAGGCGCAAAGGATTGTGCACGTTGTCAAAAGTGAGCAAAACGTGAGGGTTTTGTAGCATTTTCAACTACAACTACACCACACTACACACCAATACACTTCACTACAACTACAACTACACCTTCACTACATTCCACTACACTACACTACACTCAACTACACTCAATTACGCTACACTACACTCTACTACACTACACTACCCTACACGACACTACATTCCACTACACTACACTACATTACACTACACTACACTCCACTACACTACACTACATTACACTACACTACATTACACTACATTACACTACACTACACTCCACTAAACTACACTACACTACATTACACTACACTCCACTACATTACACTACACTACACTTCACTACACTACACTACAACTACACTACACTACATTCCACTACTACACTACACTCCACTACACTCCACTACACTACACTACACCTCACTACATTACACTCCACCACACTACAGTACACTACACTCAATTACACTACACTACACTACACCATGCGACACTACACTCACTAACTACAACTACAGCTACAGCTACAACTACAACTATCACTACAACTACAACTACAACTACAATTCATAACACTACACTACAACTACAACTACACTACACTAATTGCAGTACATTACACTACACTACACTACACTAATTGCATTACACTACGCTACACGACACCACACCACATTACACTCAATTACACTACACTACCCTACCCCACATTGCATTACATTACATTACATTATGTTACATTACATTACATTACACTAAAACGCACTCATTACACCACCACAAATGCAACTGCAACTACACTACACGAATTACACCACACCATAACTACAACTCCACTACACTACAACTACAACTACAGCTGCACTACACCACACTACATCCAGCAGTTGTGGGTGAGGTGACGGACCAGGCGACCACTGCAACCATTGCAGCCACTCCAAAAAACACAGCTCAAACCACCTTTCGGTCCATCAGTGGATTCGCTCTGCCATCCGTGATTCACAACAGCCATCCTCTCCTATAGGTTTCCTAGTTTTGAAACTTCCGCCACCGCCTTGTGCGGCCCTACTGGTACCATGTACATATCATATATATCATGTGTATATCATGTGAATTTCATGTCTATATCACATATCATGCATATATCATGTAAATACAATAAAACATGTAGATTTCATATACATCATGTGTATATCATGTATATTTCATGTCTATATCACATATCATGCACATATCATGTAAATACAATATAACATGTATATGTCATATACATCATGTGTAAATCATGTATATTTCATGTATATGTCATATATCATGCATACATCATGCATATTTCATGTAAATAAAATAAACCGCATATATTTCATATATATATATCATGTGTAAAGCATGTATATTTCATGTATATATCATATTTCATGTATATACCATGCTTATCATATACCATGTATATATCATTTAAACCATGTGTGTATCATGTGTACTTCATGTATATATCATGTTTCATGTTTACAACATGTATATAAAATACACCATGTATAATATATATATAGTGTGTTTCATGTATATTTCATGTATATATCATATATAATGCTTTTACCATGTATATATTATATACCATGTATAAATCATTTAGTGTATTTATGTATATTTCATGTCTATATCATATATCATGTGTATACCATGTATATTTCATGTCTATATCATATACCATGTACATATCATGTATATATCATGTGTATACAACGTATATCATGTATATATATATCAAATATCATGTAAATACCATGTATATATCATGTAAATATCATGTATATATCATGTATGTATCGTATATTATGCTTATATATAGAATGTATATAACATGTATCATGTTTTTACTATGTATATATCATGTGTATATCAATTTTATTTCATGTATATACCATGTATATATCATATATCATGTATATATCATGTACATACCATGTATGATCAAATATAACGTATATATCATGTATATATCATGTATTTTTAACATACCATGTATATATCATATATCATGTAAATATCATATATCACGTATATACTTCAGGAGGAACAAAGTTTATGCTTCTTGAAAGCTTTACAAAACATCCATTTCGGTCAACCGCGGATCACATTTTCAAGTCCGTTTTGTGTGGCAGGTGTGGGACGGTCAATTATCACCCTCTTTTAAATATATAAGATTTTAAAGCTTTTGGAGGGTGGGAAATGCGACCGGGGTACGACAAAGCTCCATGCTAGGATTCTACGGGGAAAGGGTGTGCAGAAGAAGAAACCAACCATGTTCACTGTGGGAAGCTCAACAAGCGCAACTTTTGTCCTACCAGTGCGTCACGGCACATGTGTAGCAGTGCAGACAAAGAGGATGGAGACAGGCATGTTATGTGGAGTAATGACCAAGCTGAAGCAGGTGCAAAAATCAGCAAATGACTCGGCAATCCCCACTCAATAAGCTTTGTGTACCCTGCGTCACGGCACATGTGTAGCAGTGCAGACAAAGAGGATGGAGACAGGCATGTTATGTGGAGTAATGACCAAGCTGAAGCAGGTGCAAAAATCAGCAAATGACTTGGCAATCCCCACTCAATAAGCTTTTTGTACCCTTCAGGAGGAACAAAGTTTATGCTTCTTGAAAGCTTTACAAAACATCCATTTCGGTCAACCGCGGATCACATTTTCAAGTCCGTTTTGTGTGGCAGGTGTGGGACGGTCAATTATCACCCTCTTTTAAATATATAAGATTTTAAAGCTTTTGGAGGGTGGGAATGCGACCGGGGTACGACAAAGCTCCATGCTAGGATTCTACGGGGAAAGGGTGTGCAGAAGAAGAAACCAACCATGTTCACTGTG